AAAAATAATTATTATAGAAAAATTTAAAGTTTGAACAAACTCTTATGTGCATATACTTACATGCAGAAGTTTATTTTTTTTTTTTGGCCTAATATGATGTAAAGTGGAGTCCCATTACTGTATTTAAAAAATTGGTCAATTTAAGAAAACGAGTTAAAATTGGCAAGTTATATGTGAACCTTCAAAGCAGTAAATCTATCTAAATTGAATTACATTCATATTCTCCATTCACAAATAAATCAATTTGGAGTGACATTTGAATTGTCGTATCTGCGAAGACAGTGATTATGTATGAATGATGGGGAAAGTATTTCTTTTTTTGCGTCGCCCTGCCTCAGTGGGAGATGGCCAGTATGTTGAAAAAATATATAGTTTAACCCTTAAACGGTCCAAGCAGGTCGACGTTCAAATTCGTATTGCTACAAAAGTAGATCTACTTTTTTTTACATATTTTCAAATATAACAAAAAAAATGTAGATAAAAGTTTTTTTTACACGTTTTCAAATGTAAAACAAAAAAGAAGATCTACATTTTTATACATACTTTCAGATGTTGAAAAAACGTATATATACGTTTGGACCATTTAAGGGTTAAATAATCAGTAATTACATGCAATATAAATGATTATTATATTCATAGGGGGGGCACTTGAACCTTTAGGGGGTCATAGTATGTCTGGGGAATGGGAGGTATTCAGATTTTATTCAAGGAAGGACATATCAGGTTCAGTTCCTTGGCTCAAGATGACCTTGAGAGTTACAAATAATGAAATAGCGTAATGACATTTTTTAAGTCATTTTAATGTGTTTTGGGGCCCCAATCAAGCTAATAATTTCAGAATTTGTAAATGGTTTTGAAATACTCTTAAATTAAAAAATTGCAGTAAGATTTCATTGGAAAGCAAATGCAAAAATCCATAAATTTGTTCGTTGTTGTGTATGTATTGACACCTCAAGGGAAGTGTTATAACACACAAATAACCCGCACATAGAAGAGAGGATCTTATGACGACATTTCGGTCCGACTTGGACCATTTACAGAGTCGCACAGTGTGACTTTGTAAATGGTCCAAGTCGGACCGAAACATCGTCGTAAGCTCCTCTTCTATGTGCGGGTTATTTGTATATTGTTCCAGTCACTGTATTGTGCCTTTTTTTGTTATTTAAGTGTTATGGTGGCAGTAAAGGGCCCTTGAAATAAGCCAGATAAACATTCTAATGCTGCTGTTCTCTGTATACCTCCTTATAAAAGCAAGTGTAAGGAATGAGCTGGGATTTATTTTTGTGATGGCCAAATTAACTGCATTTTAAATTGGCAGTGTCTTTTAATATGCAATAATGTGAAGAGGAACAGCAAATTAAATGTTATTTTATTTATTATCACACTGGCCGATTCCCACCAAGGCAGGGTGGCCCGAAAAAGAAAAACTTTCACCATCATTCACTCCATCACTGTCTTGCCAGAAGGGTGCTTTACACAACAGTTTTTAAACTGCAACATTAACACCCCTCCTTCAGAGTGCAGGCACTGTACTTCCCATCTCCAGGACTCAAGTCCGGCCTGCCGGTTTCCCTGAACCCCTTCATAAATGTTACTTTGCTCACACTCCAACAGCACGTCAAGTATTAAAAACCATTTATCTCCATTCACTCCTATAAAACACGCTCACGCATGCCTGCTGGAAGTCCAAGCCCCTCGCACACAAAACATCCTTTACCCCCTCCCTCCAACCTTTCCTAGGCCGACCCCTACCTCGCCTTCCTTCCACTACAGACTGATACACTCTTGAAGTCACACTGTTTCGCTCCATTCTCTCTACATGTCCGAACCACCTCAACAACCCTTCCTCAGCCCTCTGGACAACAGTTTTGGTAATCCCGCACCTCCTCCTAACTTCCAAACTATGAATTCTCTGCATTATATTCACACCACACATTGCCCTCAGACATGACATCTCCACTGCCTCCAGCCTTCTCCTCGCTGCAACATTCATCACCCATGCTTCACACCCATATAAGAGCGTTGGTAAAACTATACTCTCATACATTCCCCTCTTTGCCTCCAAGGACAAAGTTCTTTGTCTCCACAGACTCCTAAGTGCACCACTCACCCTTTTCCCCTCATCAATTCTATGATTCACCTCATCTTTCATAGTCCCATCCGCTGACACGTCCACTCCCAAATATCTGAATACATTCACCTCCTCCATACTCTCTTCCCTCCAATCTGATATCCAATCTCTCATCACCTAATCTTTTTGTTATCCTCATAACCTTACTCTTTCCTGTATTCACTTTTAATTTTCTTCTTTTGCACACCCTACCAAATTCATCCACCAATCTCTGCAACTTCTCTTCAGAATCTCCCAAGAGCACAGTGTCAATCAGCAAAGAGCAACTGTGACAACTCCCACTTTGTTTGATTCTTTATCTTTTAACTCCACGCCTTTTGCCAAGACCCTCGCATTTACTTCTCTTACAACCCCATCTATAAATATATTAAACAACCACGGTGACATCACCACATCCTTGTTAAGGCCTACTTTTACTGGGAAAAAATTTCCCTCTTTCCTACATACTCTAACTTGAGCCTCACTATCCTCGTAAAAACTCTTCACTGCTTTCAGTAACCTACCTCCTACACCATACACCTGCAACATCTGTCACATTGCCCCCCTATCCACCCCTGTCATACCCCTTTTTCCCCAAATCCATAAATGCCACAAAGACCTCTTTAGCCTTATCTAAATACTGTTCACTTATATGTTTCACTGTAAACACCTGGTCCACACACCCCCTACCTTTCCTAAAGCCTCCTTGTTCATCTGCTATCCTATTCTCCATCTTACTCTTAATTCTTTCAATAATAACTCTACCATACACTTTACCAGGTATACTCAACAGACTTATCCCCCTATAATTTTTGCACTCTCTTTTGTCCCCTTTGCCTTTATACAAAGGAACAATGCATGCTCTCTGCCAATCCCTAGGTACCTTACCCTCTTCCATACATTTATTAAATAATTGCACCAACCACTCCAAAACTATATCCCCACCTGCTTTTAACATTTCTATCTTTATCTCATCAATCCCGGCTGCCTTACCCCCTTTCATTTTACCTACTGCCTCACGAACTTCCCCCACACTCACAACTGGCTCTTCCTCACTCCTACAAGATGTTATTCCTCCTTGCCCTATACACGAAATCACAGCTTCCCTATCTTCATCAACATTTAACAATTCCTCAAAATATTCCCTCCATCTTCCCAATACCTCTAACTCTCCATTTAATAACTCTCCTCTCCTATTTTTAACTGACAAATCCATTTGTTCTCTAGGCTTCCTTAACTTGTTAATCTCACTCCAAAACTTCTTCGTATTTTCAACAAAATTTGTTGATAACATCTCACCCACTCTCTCATTTGCTCTCTTTTTACATTGCTTCACCACTCTCTTAACCTCTCTCTTTTTTCTCCATATACTCTTCCCTCCTTGCATCACTTCTACTTTGTAAAAACTTTTCATATGCTAACTTTTTCTCCCTTACTACTCTCTTTACATCATCATTCCACCAATTGCTCCTCTTCCCTCCCGCACCCACTTTCCTGTAACCACAAACTTCTGCTGAACACTCTAACACTACATTTTTAAACCTACCCCATACCTCTTTGACCCCATTGCCTATGCTCTCATTAGCCCATCTATCCTCCAATAGTTGTTTATATCTTACCCTAACTGTCTCCTCTTTTAGTTTATAAACCTTCACCTCTCTCTTCCCTGATGCTTCTATTCTCCTTGTATCCCATCTACCTTTTACTCTCAGTGTAGCTACAACTAGAAAGTGATCTGACATATCTGTGGCCCCTCTATAAACATGTACATCCTGAAGTCTACTCAACAGTCTTTTATCTACCAATACATAATGCAACAAACTACTGTCATTTCGCCCTACATCATATCTTGTATACTTATTTATCCTCTTTTTCTTAAAATATTTATTACCTATAACTAAACCCCTTTCTATACAAAGTTCAATCAAAGGGCTCCCATTATCATTTACACCTGGCACCCCAAACTTACCTACCACACCCTCTCTGAAAGTTTCTCCTACTTTAGCATTCAGGTCCCTTACCACAATTACTCTCTCACTTGGTTCAAAGGCTCCTATACATTCACTTAACATCTCCCAAAATCTCTCTGTCCTCTACATTCCTCTCTTCTCCAGGTGCATACACGCTTATTATGACCCACTTTTCGCATCCAACCTTTACTTTAATCCACATAATTCTTGAATTTACACATTCATATTCTCTTTTCTCCTTCCATAACTGATCCTTCAACATTACTGCTACCCCTTCCTTAGCTCTAACTCTCTGATACTCCAGATTTAAACCCATTTATTTCCCCCCACCGAAATTCCCCTACCCCTTTCAGCTTTGTTTCGCTTAGGGCCAGGACATCCAACTTCTTTTCATTCATAACATCAGCAATCATCTGTTTATTGTCATCCGCACTACATCCACGCACATTCAAGCATCCCAGTTTTATAAAGTTTTTTTTCTTCTCTTTTTTAGTAAATGTCTACAGGAGAAGGGGTTACTAGCCCATTGCTTCTGGCATTTTAGTCGCCTCATACGACACGCATGGCTTACGGAGGAAAGATTCTTTTCCACTTCCCCATGGACAATAGAAGAAATAAAGAACAAGAGCTATTTAGAAAAAGGAGAAAAACCTAGATGTATGTATATATATTTGCATGTGCGTGTCTGTGAAGTGTGACCAAAGTGTAGGTAGGAGTAGCAAATTAAATGTTAGAAGCATTTTTATTTATGGTTATCCCAGTGAGTAAAGGTTCTAATGGTGACATATAAGACATACGTAGTTATTAGTATTACAGTACTATATGTTTGGGGAAGGGAAGGTTTGCTTGATAGATTAGTATGGGGAAAATCAATTATTAATGATATAATAATTTGCCTTACTTGTATTTTTTATTTTTTTTATAGATATACAAGTGCAGCTCAAGACCTTGTCATGGGTTCTCGTGGAAAGCTTCGAGATCGTAATTGGCGTACAAGCAATGACAAACATGCAACTATTGATGATATTACTGTCTTTGTCATTCCTCTTAAACCATATAAAGAGGAGTACCAAGAATGGACTTCGAAACAAAAAGCAAATGGTGGTGATGATGAGAAATCTTCCTCACAGAGCATTAACAGTCCAAATATAAAATGTGATGCTAGTGAACTAGAAGCAGATACAGTAGCCTCAGACAAAAATTTGTCTGAAGAAGAGAAGAGACCTTATCCCCCAGTCATGTTGAATGCTGGTGACTCGTTAAATCATGAGAAAGATGCACTTGAAATCAAACCACAAGAAGATTATTTCAAAAATGAAGTTAACCAGGAAGCGCAAGCAGAACACAGGTTAAATACAACCTTACATGATACATAGTAGATAATATCTGCTAGTTTGTTTGTGACCTGTCATATTAATTAGGACAGTGGTACTAGTCCTTGTACAGTATATTACTCTGCAGGGTTGGAACTCCTGAGATAATAATGCCAAAGGAGTATGCTGTATGTGATTTTTGCATGATACACAAGAATATTTTCCACACTTGTTATTGGCTTCTTTTTTTTTTGTTTTTAAGTCAGAAGTGTCTTCATTTTTGTAGAGCACATTATTTTACCAAAGCATTGTTGTATTATTTAAAATATTTATTCTTAAATACATATATATATATAATAGAAAAACTTGGAGAAGTTTGTTTATGAGTTAAGTATTTCATTAGAGAAGGGGAAAATTTATTTTACAGATACAAGGTAAATATTTCATTAAGGAAGCGGGAATTTATTTTACATGTGCAGTAGATCATTGATTATTCAGCACTGTGGAGGTAAGGTTGCTCTGGATAATTGCAGCTTTTTAAACCACATTGGCAATTTCCCACCAAGGTAGAGTGACCTCCAAAAAAAGGAAATACATTCCTCATCATTCATCCAATTGTTGTTTTGCTAGAAGTGTGCAGACATCACAGTTCAGATGACCCCACCAAATAACAACATCCCCACCCCTCCGGATTGCAGGCACTGCATTTCTCACCTCCAGAACCAAGTCGTTTTTTATGGTCCCTCTTGTTTGCACATTCCATTTTCACGTTATTTGTTCAGGTTCTCTGTATAAAATGAGTACCAGATATTAAACTCTGAATATGCAATTGCTGGATAATCAGTGATATACAGTCTTAAAGATTATTGATAGGCATCTGAGAAATTCTTCACACATTGTGTCATTGAAGCTTAATGAAAATTATGTCTTACACCGTAATTGTTTTAATGTGTTAAGGGAAATTTATTAAATGAAAAATGTGATAGATTCTGAAAATGTGTTGGATAACATAAGCATTAGTACATTTTGTCATTGGCAAACTACTAAATATATTAAAATTAGTAGTGCCAGACATTGTAAGATACAGTTATGTATAAGTACAGTTATGTTAATACTGACAGATTGTGGGAATAAGGCACATGCACAATCAAGACATTTATTGAAGATGTTTTGCCACTGGTAGCAGTTTTAATGATAAAGCCACCTGTGGTTAAATGTCCCCTTCAATTAATGTCTTGATTATGCATATTTGGTTCTTTCCCCACAAATACAGTCATCCCTACAAATTCACTTGCTTCTTTATTTGTGGGTTTTGAATATCCTGTGTTTTTACTGATGGGCACTCAGTGAATAGATTCAGTTATCTAATGTTTTTCTGTCCCAGTGGCTTTCAGACACCCAAATCTGTCTATTTTGGTCATTGTTTATAAATGTCAGTGCTAACCATATCAGAATAATATGTTAAAACTATATGGTGTGTGGAATACAAAATAAACCCAGATCAGTAACAGAATTTGTTTCACACTACAATTTGTATTATTCACAGTTAAAGCATTCACAGAACTTCTGAAAGCATAATTTCCTTGTGAGTTTGGAGGGATGACTTAATGTAGTGCATTAAATTATGTACAAGCAGAGTTCTTGGTAAAAAAAATTCTCATTTTATTAGGGGATGTTGAGAGAAGTACAAATAAATCATGTATTCATTCTCAAGTTAACGGTCAGCTCAATTGTTTAAAGGTGTACTTAAATAAATACAACCTTATTTTAACTTTCTTCATCTTTGATAAGCACTGTTTTAGTTTGGAAAAAAAAATATTCATATTTGTATTGAAAGTCTTAATTAAGACTGTAAAAAAAAGCAATATTGTATTGCATTTACTCAATTAGATGACTTATAAAGCTCAGATAACATAAATCAGTAGTTCTTAAAATTGATTGTTTACCTGGAAGATTTCTGGGAGAGGATGGGGAAAAGAGTTGTTGGAAAATGATAGTGTGAAGGGTTGAAATTGTAAATGGAAGATTTTTTATTTATTCCAATTTTAAAAACATATTGATAAATTATAATAATAATGAGTACACGGGGGAAAGCAGTATGGAAAAAAAAAAAAAGGCATAAGATCCACTGACCAACCATGTTACAATGTTCCACATGAGATGATTGAAAAAATTTATTTTGCAAAATTCATTTTGCCATAACTGATCTCTGGGTTTTAGGAATGGAGTATAGATTACCTTTGCTTTATGAAGTTTCACTTATGCAACTTTGTTTATGTGGGGCAACTTAGAGTTCTACCGGTAATTCACTACATGTTGTAGAAATTCACTCTTAACCCTTAAACTGTCCAAGCGTAGATCTACATTGAGGTGCGTAGTGCCCCAAACGTAGATCTACATTTTTTCAATGCTTTCAAATGGAGAAAATAAAGGTCGGAGCACTACGCACGTTAACATAGATCTACACTTGGACAGTTTAAGGGTTCAGGGATCACCACCTCTTGATTTTTTAACATCTATAGATTGCTCTTCTATCCATAGGGTGGATAGGGAAGCAATGTGACATATGTTACAAATACATATATAAAATGTGTGGTAGGTTAAGTAAATAAAAAAAAAGTTTTTATGTGGACAGCAAGGTTCATGTTAGGGTGTGTAGGAGGGAGAGAGAAATGGAGATCATTTTCCAATAAAAGGCATTAGACAGGGATGTGAGATGTCACCATGGATGTTTAACATATTTATTGATGGGGTTTGAAAAGAAGTGAAAGCTAGGGTGTTAGGGAGAGGTGTGGGATTAAAAGATAATGAATCTAATACAAAGTGGGAGCTGTAACATTTGCTCTGTTGATGATATAGTTGTTTTGGGAGAGTGTGAAGAGAAGTTGCAAAAATTGATTGATGAATTTGGGAGGGTATATAAAAGAATGAAGTTAAAAGATGTTCCAGGTAGGTAGGAACAAGATGATGAGGGTATCAAAATATCTAGGCAGTGAAAGATTGAATATCAAATTGAAGAGAGGAAGTTAGTGTTCAAATATTTTTGGGTGGATTTGTTGGCAAGTAATTTGAGAGATGAGGTCAACCAAAGAATTGATGAAGGGGAAAAAGGTGGATGGTGTATTGAGGCATCTGTCAAGAGAAAGAACTTTATTCATAAGAAGCAAAAAGGGAATTGTATCAGATTATAGGTGTATAGATATGAAGCATCGCTTTTAACCCTTTCAGGGTTCAGACCCCCTGATCTGAAATTTGTCTACAGGGGTCTAAGAATTTTTATTTTTATGAAATTTTTAATTTTTATGAAATGGTAGAGAATCTTTTCTGAAGGTAATGAAACAAAAAGTATGAAATTTGATGGAAAACTGACAAACTTACACTACATGTATTGTGAATTTTGCCGTGTCAGCGGTATTTATGCATTGGCGATTTTGCCCACTTTGAGTCCTATTTTAGTCCAATTATATTGTTCCAGTTGACTAAATTCTTAGCTGTTTTGCTAGTATGCCTTCCACTTTATCAGTTGAGTACAAGAAACTGCCAATTCACCTATTCCAACTACCCAATAAAGTGATCAGAAATTGGTAATTTGGCCAGTATCACACAAAATTCAGACTGTCAATTTCAAAATAGGGTCCAGAATAAACAATGCAGACATTCCTGGCACTAAAATAACATTTCCTCTGTTCATTAGCTACATCTCCAGGCTTCTCCAATATTACACATGAATTCCATTTTGAATTTTTATTCACACTAAAAAATAAAAGATTTACTGTTTTGCATTATTGTAATACTTGTACAGATAATGTCATTGGATTTGTGAATGCATATTAGACTGACCAGTTGGACACGAATTGGACGTGATTTGTGTACTCTGTAATGTCAGCAAAAATCGAATATTTCCACTACTTTGAGTTCAGTTTCAAGCTACTTCCAGTCCTGAAACCAATCAAAATCATTTCAATTTCTGTAATAAATCTTCCACTTTATCAAATGACACCAAGAAACCTAGAATAAATCCACAAAAATAATCCGAAAATACACCGCGAAGTTGCTGTTTTAAACCAAAAACACAGTCATGGTTTTATTCCCCCATGAACTACATGGGGCAGCCCTTTTTTTATATGGTGCACACTTGCCACATATACCCATTCTCTTATATTTAAGCCAATATTTACTACCCACAGCTTATATGAGTGACCTGAGCTCATGATATAAAACTACGGCACTGACCCTTAAGGGGGTTAAACATTTCAGTGAAGAGGAGGCTGGAGGCAGTAAAAATGTCATGCTTGTGGCCAATATGTGGTGTGAATATTATGCAGAGAATTTGTAGTGTGGAGGTTAGGTGGTGGTGTGAGGTTAAGAGAGGGATTTTTCAGAGTGCTGAGGAGGGGTTGTTGAGGTGATTTTGACACTTAGAGAGGATAGAGAAAAATAGCATAATTAGGAGAGCATAGGTAGGTAGGTAGATATGGAGGGGGTAGGGGTCATCCTCAGAAAGGTTGGAAAGAGAAGATTGAAAGTGTTAGGGTCTTGGATATCCAATAGGCTTGCATGAGTGTGGTAGATAGGAGTGAGTAGAGGCAAGTGGATCTTAAGATTTAATGTTCTGTTGGAGTGTGAGTAGGGTAACATTTATGAGGGGAATCAGGGAACTGGTTAACCACACTTGAGTCCTGTAGGTGAGAAGTAGTGTGTCTGCACTCTGAAGGAGGGGTTGGGATGTTGCAGTTTGGATGGTCATCTGAACTGTAATGTCAGTAACTTTTTCATATTGACATAAATAAGAAAGACAGAATAGGCATAGGAAATAACAGTGAGCTTATTTGAATGAAAACCTGTTCAATTTAAGTGTCTTGTGCTAAGTCACCTGGCCAGACTAGGGTTGGAGGGAGAACAGATGTGTATTCACAGGCTCGTAATGTGCACTTTAGTCCAGACAAAGATGGGCTGGTTGGTTCATGGTGGAGGGAGGGTACAGGGCACAAGGACTGACTTCATCTTAAATTTTAAAAAAAATTCATTTGTTTCTTTGAAAACATTTGTTTTTGGGATAGCTGTGTTTGGTGCTTCTCTGGTATGTTAATAATTTTTGGGTAAAAATAAGTGAAGGAATGTGGAATTCTCATTTCCAGTTTTGTATTATATAGGGATTATTTGGTTTTCTTTTCTGATAATTTCCTCAGTACCAAATTTATTTTTTTTTATATGATCATTTGGTGCATATGTATTTTTTTTTTTTTATTTAGCTAGTAAGCATTAGACATAAAATGTGTAATTTCCAAAGTCTCAGAATGATTCCCTATGTTTTATGTGTTATGCTGGGTTTGCTTTAAGTGAATTTGTTTTGTGCGCCATGACCAGGGATACATTTAACACACACAGAGAGGGAGATTTCTCCATCTTTGTACCAGAATGAATTTTCAACAATAGGAACAACTCTCTCAGGAGTTTTTGGCAAATGCTTTGCTGAACTGTTATGTATTTTATCATTCTATATAACTGAAATCTAAACTTTATGACTTCTGATTGACATATAAAATGCATAATGGATCATAGCAGCTTAAAAAAAAAAAAACAAAGGTTTGTTCTTCTCTCAATGTATACATGAAGACTGCAGTCTGCAACTGAAGAATATCTTTATGGCTTCTGGTACACTATCAAGAGGCATGGTTTATTATTTTTAGCAATTTCGTAATGTATATTTTAAAAAGAGCTGATTATCCATCTGTTAGGCCCTTAACATTGTGTAAGTGTTTCTTTTTTACATATTTATATCATGTAGGAATAATAAGTAACTTGTATAGGTTTATTAAATTAGTCTCATAGTTAAGACCAATCAAAATATTGTTTTAACTCATAATTTGCAGCAATTGAATACTGTTCTGTATTGCTTTGTTTTAGGACAGGACATCAGAAAAATATATATATAGTGCATCAGCAGTTGAACAAGCAAGCATTCCAAATTAGAAAAAGTAGAGAAATTGACAAATATTGCAAGGCAAGTCATTTTAAACAGTTTTAATTATTACAATAGATTTACTATTGCTATGGGAATATATAGTATAGGCTGATCACCTACTGTGGAAACTGAAGGTGTATGCCATCAGCTAATGGCAAGGATGTTAGTTAAAAGCAAATTACTCATTTATTCATCTCTTGTACAAAGGCCAAGCTTATATTTTTGTATGTGACATGCTAAATCTGTGTGGGTCATTCAGCATAAAGAGTGATGTAATGTTTATTTAATGCTTAAATGATGACATTCAAAATTTTGATTTCCGAACAGAATATATGCTAGTATCCGAGTAAAGGAGCCAAGTCTCAGACCGAGCAAATAACTTGGAGAGAATCGTATTTGTGCTTAGAACTTAAAATTGGTATTAATTGCTTCAGGTTTAGTACCTGAAACAATTAATACTAGTCTTCTTCATACACTTTTTTTTCTATCTTGTTGGAAAACTGGAAGTTCTTCCTTTCCAAAAGCTGGGCACGTCAGGTCAAGACACTTCTCATTGTAGGCTCATCGCTTATACCAGTGCTATTTGTAAGTTGATGGAACACTTGGTTAATAAATGTCTTGAGTCATACTTAATTTGGTTTTAGAAAGGGCCTTTCTACCAATCAGCTTTATAATTCACCTTAATGCATGTTTGCAATGACTGTACTACAGTCTTTTTTGATCTAGAATAAGCTTATAACACTAGTAAAATCTTAACATCTAGAAAAAACTTATAACATACCTTCCTTTAAGACTTATTGACCTGAGAGGTACTTCAGTGTTCAAGTAAATAAGCGTTTTATTCCTGATTGTATGCAAGTTGAAGGTGTACTTAAAGGCTGTGTTCTTAGTGCTGCCATGTTCTACTCACCATTAACAAACCTACCTTTATTCTTTCTTTCAATATCTCTGATCATCCTTGTATGTAGACAGTTTTGCTATTACTTGCACAGGTATAGGCTGACAACTTGCAGAAACCTCTCTCCAATATGCTATTAATCACACTTCCAACTAGGGCACTTCCAGTGATTTTAAATTCTCTTACTGTGTTTCAGTCTGTGCCTTCTAACCATTGTATAGTTTCTTTGTATACCTCATCTCTCCATTCTTCCTGTCTTATTTCTCCCCCACCCATCATGCAAAATTCCTATAAGCCAAATCTGTATTTTTGTCTGTCCTTTGCCAGTGACTCACTTCTTTGCTTTTAACTCACTTTTTTTTTTTTTCCAACAAGTCGGTCGTCTCCCACCGAGGCAGGGTGACCCAAAAAAAGAAAGAAAATCCCCAAAAAGAAAATACTTTCATCATCATTCAACACTTTCACCACACTCACACATTATCACTGCTTTTGCAGAGGTGCTCAGAATACAACAGTTTAGAAGCATATACGTATAAAGATACACAACATATCCCTCCAAACTGCCAATATCCCAAACCCCTCCTTTAAAGTGCAGGCATTGTACTTCCCATTTCCAGGACTCAAGTCCGACTATATGAAAATAACCGGTTTCCCTGAATCCCTTCACTAAATATTACCCTGCTCACACTCCAACAGATCGTCAGGTCCCAAGTATCATTCGTCTCCATTCACTCCTATCTAACACGCTCATGCACGCTTGCTGGAAGTCTAAGCCCCTCGCCCAGAAAAACCTCCTTTACCCCCTCTTTCCAACCCTTTCGAGGACGACCCCTACCCCTCTTTCCTTCCCCTATAGATTTATATGATTTCCATGTCATTCTACTTTGATCCATTCTCTCTAAATGACCAAACCACCTCAACAACCCCTCTTCTGCCCTCTGACTAATGCTTTTATTAACTCCACACCTTCTCCTAATTTCCACACTCCGAATTTTCTGCATAATATTTACACCACACATTGCCCTTAGACAGGACATCTCCACTGCCTCCAACCGTCTCCTCGCTGCTGCATTTACCACCCAAGCTTCACATCCATATAAGAGTGTTGGTACTACTATACTTTCATACATTCCCTTCTTTGCCTCCATAGATAACGTTTTTTGACTCCACATATACCTCAACGCACCACTCACCTTTTTTCCCTCATCAATTCTATGGTTAACCTCATCCTTCATAAATCCATCCACCGACACGTCAACTCCCAAGTATCTGAAAACATTCACTTCTTCCATACTCCTCCTCCCCAATTTGATATCCAATTTTTCTTTATCTAAATCATTTGATACCCTCATCACCTTACTCTTTTCTATGTTCACTTTCAACTTTCTACCTTTACACACATTCTCAAACTCATCCACTAACCTTTGCAATTTTTCTTTAGAATCTCCCATAAGCACAGTATCATCAGCAAAAAGTAACTGTGTCAATTCCCATTTTGAATTTGATTCCCCATAATTTAATCCCACCCCTCTCCCGAACACCCTAGCATTTACTTCCTTTACAACCCCATCTATAAATATATTAAACAACCATGGTGACATTACACATCCCTGTCTAAGACCTACTTTTACCGGGAAGTATTCTCCCTCTCTTCTACACACCCTAACCTGAGCCTCACTATCCTCATAAAAGCTCTTTACAGCATTTAGTAACTTACCACCTATTCCATATACTTGCAACATCTGCCACATTGCTCCTCTATCCACTCTATCATATGCCTTTTCTAAATCCATAAATGCAATAAAAACTTCCCTACCTTTATCTAAATACTGTTCACATATATGCTTCAATGTAAACACTTGATCTACACATCCCCTACCCACTCTGAAGCCTCCTTGCTCGTCCGCAATTCTACATTCTGTCTTACCTCTAATTCTTTCAATTATAACCCTACCGTATACTTTTCCTGGTATACTCAGTAAACTTATTCCTCTATAATTTCTACAATCTCTTTTGTCCCCTTTCCCTTTATATAAAGGGACTATACATGCTCTCCGCCAATCCCTAGGTACCTTCCCCTCTTTCATACATTTATTAAACAAAAGTACCAACCACTCCAACACTATATCCCCCCCTGCTTTTAACATTTCTGTCATGATCCCATCAGTTCCAGCTGCTTTACCCCCTTTCATTCTACGTAATGCCTCACGTACCTCCACCACACTTACATTCTGCTCTTCTTCACTCCTAAAAGATGGTATACCTCCCTGGCCAGTGCATGAAATTACCGCCTCCCTTTCTTCCTCAACATTTAAAAGTTCCTCAAAATATTCTCGCCATCTACCTAATACCTCCCTCTCCCCATCTACTAACTCCCCTACTCTGTTTTTAACTGACAAATCCATACTTTCCCTAGGCTTTCTTAACTTGTTTAACTCACTCCAAAATTTTTTCTTATTTTCATTAAAATTTCTTGACAGTGCCTCTCCCACTCTTTCATCTGCTCTCCTTTTGCACTCTCTCACCACTCTCTTCACCTTTCTTTTACTCTCCATATACTCTGCTCTTCTTATAACACTTCTGCTTTGTAAAAACCTCTCGTAAGCTACCTTTTTCTCTTTTATCACACCCTTTACTTCATCATTCCACCAATCACTCCTCTTTCCTCCTGCCCCACATTCTAATACTGCATTTTTTAAAACTATTCCAACCCTCTTCAACCCCCCCACTACTCATCTTTGCACTAGCCCACCTTTCTGCCAATAGTCGCTTATATCTCGCCCGAACTTCCTCCTCCCTTAGTTTATACACTTTCACCTCCCTCTTACTTGTTGTTGCCACCTTCCTCTTTTCCCATCTACCTCTTATTCTAACTGTAGCTACAACTAAATAATGATCCGATATATCAGTTGCCTCTCTATAAACATGTACATCCTGGAGCCTACCCATCAACCTTTTATCCACTAATACATAATCTAACAAACTACTTTCATTACGTGCTACATCATACCTTGTATATTTATTTATCCTCTTTTTCATAAAATATGTATTACTTATTACCAAATCTCTTTCTACACATAGCTCAATTAAAGGCTCCCCATTTACATTTACCCCTGGCACCCCAAATTTACCTACTACTCCCTCCATAACATTTTTACCCACTTAAGCATTGAAATCCCCAACCACCATTACTCTCACACTTGATTCAAAACTCCCCACGCATTCACTCAACATTTCCCAGAATCTCTCTCTCCTCTACACTTCTCTCTTCTCCAGGTGCATACACGCTTACTATAACCCACTTTTCACATCCAATCTTTATTTTACTCCACATAATCCTTGAATTTATACATTTGTAGTCCCTCTTTTCCTGCCATAGCTTATCCTTCAACATTATTGCTACTCCTTCTTTAGCTCTAACTCTATTTGAAACCCCTGACCTAATCCCATTTATTCCTCTCCATTGAAACTCTCCCACCCCCTTCAGCTTTGTTTCACTTAAAGCCAGGACATCCAGTTTCTTCTCATTCATAACATCCACAATCATCTCTTTCTTATCATTTGCACAACATCCACGCACATTCAGACTTCCCACTTTGACAATTTTCTTTTTCTTATTCTTTTTAGTAATCTTTACAGGAAAAGGGGTTACTAGCCCATTGTTCCCGGCATTTTAGTTGACTTTTACAACACGCATGGCTTACGGAGGAAAGATTCTTATTCCACTTCCCCATGGATATAAAAGGAAAAGTAATAAGACCAAGAACTATTAAGATAAAATCAAAGAAAACTCAGATGAGTGTGTATAAATAAACGTGTACATGTATGTGTAGTGTGACCTAAGTGTAAGTAGAAGTAGCTAGACGTACCTGTAATCTTTCATATTTATGAGACAGACAAAAGACACCAGCAATCCTACCATCATGTAAAACAATTACAGGCTTTCGTTTTACACTCACTTGGCAGGACGGTAGTACCTCCCTGGGCGGTTGCTGTCTACCAACCTACTACATACTCACAATCTTGTTCATTTCAATTCTCACACTGATTGTACTGCTGCCTAAACTTTTGTCTCCAAATCCTTTGCTAAAGGAAGATATGATGCCATCTTTCCTAGTTGTATATTTCATGGGCAGTTACAATGTGTTATTAATTTCACTGCATAGATATATGCCCTCCTTGCTGCCAACATCCATATTGCTACCATGTCTACTTAATTTTTTGTAGTTTGATGCTCAAGATGCAGGTGATCCACAATCAATGTTGGCTTTGTTGCATTCTCAATAAGCACCAAAAAATTCTTGTATCTTTTTCTGGATCCTTAGTCATGCCAGTGTTTAAAGCAATGAGCATACATGTGCAGCAGTTACCCATTACTGTTTCCCAGTCCTGTTTGTTGGCAGGGTTATTATCTATGTATAAAATCAATAGGTTGTTTTTAATTTATCAACACTTGGTCTTCTTCATCTTTGTCAGTTATGAGAGAGACTTACCACTATACACAAGGGGGTTGAGGTGCCTTGAAGCTAGTGAAGGGCTTTTGATCAAAGAAATTGGAGCTACTTTTTGCTTCTTTGGATCAAACATGATTGCCTCTACCTCTCCCATTCCCCAGGTGCTGCAACACACTTATGGGTTAAGAATTCCCCCTGAAATATAATATTTGATTATCTCACAAAAGGGACCACTAACCCTTATAAAATTTTGGGATTTACCATTATTTAAAAAAAAAAAGATAGCCTTGTTCATTGCAGGTAAAAACCATAAGTCATTGTAACTAATTTAGTCAAATGTTGGTACAGATAGTTTGGTGCTCATGGAGTCAGTTTTTTTTTTTATACTGTTCTAGAATGTCAGTATTTATTAAAATGTCACCTCAGATTGGTTATGTGCTGAATCTGTTAATTTGTCAGTTTTATTGATTACATACCTTCAAAAGGGGCCAATATTGCTCATTTTGTACCACTTAATATACATTACCAGATTTTACTCCATTGTTTAGTATATCTTGCCATGTTTACCCCTCAAGGAAGGTTCCTTGATGTTGGTGAGGGGCTCTTGATTTAGGGAATTGGATCTGTGCTCCAGTTCCCCGAATTAAGCCTGAATGCCTTCCACATCCCCCCCCCAGGCGTTGTATAATCCTCCGGGTTTAGCGCTTCCCCCTTGATTATAATAATAATTGCCATGTTTAACTTTCATCGAGAAAGTATGATAATTTTCTCATCAAAGATAATGATTTATTTTGTGTGTATAATGCATGCACTATTCTCTGTGCTTGATTAATAATATCTTGGTTACCAGAGTCACTGATGACTGTTGATTTGTGAGTTTCATTTTTAAGAGAGGCCCAATACACCTTCAGTGTGAAAATTTTTCACCTAAACCAATATTGTTTGGCATTTCTCTTCAGAATGAAATTAATACAGTATTGAAATTTATTAAATCTTTATTTTATCTAGGATTTGCATAGGCACTACTATTTCTTTATGAGAAAAGATTAGATACTATGACAATTGCCCCTAAATAGCAAGAAGGTAAATTATTTGGGTAAATACAATGGTGCCAAAGGCAAAACTGACCACCTTAAAAATTACTATATTCATAGCAACTTTAATCAAGGACCTCCTGTGCTTTATGGTACAGAGCCTGCTGGTAGAAGGATGAAGAACTAAACTTTGCAAGTTAATTACTGTTCATTTGATCACTTCCAGTGTCACTCTCATGCTATTGCAATGTATACTGATGATTCAAATCCCATGAAGGTGTTTGGTATACAGCTGTTTTTCCTGAACAAGTCATTGGAGGTCATTTATTACAATTGGCTAGTATTTTCACAGCAGAGTTAGTGTATGCAATCTTCCACATTGCGACCGCATCCGCCTTGTTATTCATTCATCCCAAAGTGTATTACAACGTATCCATAGATTCAATTCTCCTCATCCCATCATCGAATACAGCTTTGATTAAGTTGCATTTCTATGAAGTGCAAAGAAGTCATGCTTTGCTGGGTCCCTGGACATGCCAGTGTTCAGTGCAATGAACATACATGTATAGACTCATCTGTTCAGTCAGCTATGCAAGATCTGGTTTCCCATAAGGGTATTCTTTACTCAAGACTATTTATCAGTGCTCTCTCACCACCTGTTTGCAACAGCAATGGTCAGCTTTGGACCACGTCCAATTGTTTTTTATCAAGCCACATTTACAATTATGGTTATCGTCTACCCTCTGTTGTCGGGTTAGGGAGACTGCACCCTCGTGCTTACGTATTGGACATGTGACTTGTTCTTAAATACCACATGGAGAAATGATTGGCATCTCTTCAAGGACTGTCCATCCAATACAGCCTCTCCTCACATAACGATGGAGTTCCATTCCTAAGACCACCTCGGTAAATGAATTCGTCGCTAAGTAAGGAACATACTATAATGGTAGTTTGTGTCGACCATCTTTGATATTGTTTTAATGTCACCTTTGCACCATTTATAACATTTCTGGTATAGTATTTTTAAATGTTTATACCATATTGTGCTGTATAGTGTAATAAACAGAATAGAGGAAATCAGCTCTAATATACATCATTAAGGTATGCATACTGGTCAGAGAGGCCGTCATGAGTTCAAGTCGTCAGTAAACGAGTACATCACTAAGGCATCATATAATGCCTAACATAATAGGAGACAAGTTTGATCCAAGGCAGGGGAAGTAATTTCCAGTTCTTTAGATTATAAACCCCCTTACTGGTATCAAGGAATCTCCCTAAGGGGGTTTTTGTACTAAGATCCAGTTTTAGTGAATGAAAATTGACCTTTAAGGTGTCTTTACTTTAATGTCCTGTCAAGGTTAGGGCCTTGATGAAGTGCTCTTATTACAAGGAACTAGTCACACTCCTATTCCTTTGATCAAACTTTATTACTCAGCATTTCCCAGGTACTCTACAACCCTTTATAGGGTTTAACACTTTCCCATGAAAAAAATTATTTTAATACAGGGTCAGTACCATATGACCCTTTTGGGTTTAGCAGTTATTATTATCATCAAATAAAGCACTAAACCATTGGATTTAGATGTCCCTCCAAACTTTTGATAGTTTTAAAATGACTATCTTCACAGAAAACACTGAATATTAATAGTTATTAGAAGATGCATACTGACAACACCACCTTTGATGACACACACACCCTACCTACCTGGAGGGCATTCCGGGGATCAGCGCCCCCACGGCCCAGTCCACGACCAGGCCTCCCAGTGAATCAGGGCCTGATCAACGAGGCTGTTACTGCTGGCCGCACGCAATCCAACGTACGAACCACAGCCCGGTTGATCTGGCACCGTCTTTAGGTATCTGTCCAGTTCCCTCTTGAAGACGACCAGGGGTCTTCCCGTAATGCCCCTTATTGCTGGTGGGAGGCTGTTGAACAGTCTTCGGCCCCGGACACTTATTGCGTTTTCTCATAGTGTACCAGTGACGCCCCTACTTTTCACTGGGGATATGTTGCATCACTAGCCAAGTCTTTTGCTTTCATATGGGGTGATTGCTGTGTGCATATTAGGGATCAGTCCCTCCAGAATCTTCCAAGTGTAGATTATGATATCTCTCTCTCGCCTGCGCTCTAGTGAGTACAAGTCAAATGCTTCCAGGCGCTCCCAGTAGTTAAGGTGTTTGATGGAACTTATACGTGCAGTAAAGGTTCTCTGTACATTCTCTAGTTCTGCAGTTTCACCTGCCTTGAATGGGGATGTTAATATGCAGCAGTATTCCAGCCTAGAGAGAATAAGTGATTTAAAAAGGATCATCATTGGCTTAGCATCTCTTGTCCTGAATATTCTCATTATCCATCCTGTCAGTTTCCTAGCAGATGTGATAGTGGCATTGTTGCGGTCCTTGAAGGTGAGGTCTTCAGACATTACCACACCCAGGTCCTTCACATTACTTTTCTGCTCTATTGTGTGATTGGAGTTTGTAGTATACTTAGTCCTAGTTATTATTTCCTCCAGTTTTCCATAATGGAGTAGTTGGAATTTGTCTTCATTGAACATATATTGTTCTCAGTTGCCCATTGAAAAACTCGCTGACTTTTTTTTTTCAGTGACAGCTTTATTACACCTAATTTGATTATACTTTTTCCTTTGGTTCTCCTCACTACCTCTTCAAGGAAGGTTCCTTGATGCTGGTGATGGGGGCTCAATCTAGGGAATTGGATCTGTGCTCCAGTTCCCTGAATTAAGCCTGAATACCTTCCATATCTCCCCCACAAGCACTGTATAATCCTATGGGTTTAGCGCTTCCACCTTGATTATTATAATAATCTCACTTCCCTTACTGGCTCTGCTTCTTGCATATTCCTAACCCTCACTGGTCTCTGATCTTCACATATTCCATCTTTACCACGCAGTGCTGTATGACCTTTGTCAGTTTAACACTTTCTTTGATAATAATAATAATAATAACCTTTACCACATCCTGTCCTGCAGTGCTGTATGACCCTTGTGGGTTTAGTGCTTAATTTTCATTGTAATAATAATGGAGGATGCATAATGACTGCACTTAGCATATAAATTAGTCTCATCCCTTGTTTCCCATCTATTCTGTAATTGTCCTATTAATGAAAGTGCCTTAATGCCACTGAAGGGCTCTTGATTCAGGGAATTTGGAGCTACACTCCACTTTGAATTAGACCCAAATGCCTCCTATTCTTCATAACCCAAGTACTGTATAACCCCCATGGGTTTAACACTTCTCCATAAACATACTAATTGTACTATGTACAGGTATGTTTCTGCAATTAATTATAATATTCGTACTCCAGCAAATTATTAACCTAGATGATCATGTAAAATTTGCAATGGAAAATAATGTCAGTATTTATAAAGCAAACATTTTTACAAATGCAGGAAAAAACTGCTAAATATTTTATTAAATTTTAAATATGAAAATAAAACTAGTAGTAGATTTATCCAACAATACTATTTGCCTTCCTGAGTTCTAAGAGACCATTGACAATGTCCATTGGGAGATCTCGAACTCTGTAGAATTCTGATGCATCAGCAAATCTAAGTTTGGTTAAAGGATCAGTATATTTAGCCTGTAGGAGAAAGGAAAAATATAAAAAAATTAAAGTTCTGAACATTACCATTTAGAGTAACATTTTTTACTTCCCATATAAATCACAATAGTCATTTATATACATATGCACAGGTGACACCTCCCTCCCCGACACTTATGATATAACTTGTCCACAAAAGCTGCCATCAGTCAGCTCATTTTAAGTTATGTTAAGTTATGTTCTGGAAACTAAATACAAACTAAAATCACAATTTTTTTTTTTTTTTTTGGCAAAAAAAATAAAAGGGAATGGGGCATGCATAAGTGGGGAGTTCCAAGTCTGGAGCTGCCTGTACTGTACAGTCTATAACTCATTGTTTAATTACCAGTTTTCTAATCTGCCCATACATTTATCAGTCATTTCTTTCACAACTCCCTTCAAGGGAGGTTCCTTGATGCTGGTGAGGGGTTCTTGATCTAGGGAATTGGATCTGTGCTCCAGTTCCCTGAATTAAGCCTGAATACCTTCCACCCCGTCCCCCACAGGCGCTGTATAATCTCTAAGGATTTAGTGCTCCCTCATGATTATATTATTATTATTTCACAACTAAAAGGGAAGGAATACGTATAGGTAACAGCCTATTACAAAACACAAAAAACCTGCACTTAGGAGAAAAGAAAGTAATGGCATTTCAGTTAGACTTGGTCCATTGACAAGTCAAACAAAAAGTAACGAGGACTTGTAAAATAAGTATTTACATTGAAGCATATAAGTGAATATGTACTTATCTAAGGGTAAGAAACTATTTATCACATATAGAAGAGAGATGATGATAGGTAAACAACATGGCAGGTCTTTCAAATTTATGGAATAGATAGCATGTTATTAAATGCTGTTGTATGAGAGTGAGACTCAGGTTAGGATATCTAGGAGAGAAAGGGATAATTTTCCAGTGAAAATAGGACTTAGATAGGTATGTGATAGGTAAACAACATGGCAGGTCTTTCAAATTTATGGAATAGATAGCATGTTATTAAATGCTGTTGTATGAGAGTGAGACTCAGGATATCTAGGAGAGAAAGGGATAATTTTCCAGTGAAAATAGGACTTAGATAGGTATGTGTGATGTCACTATGGTGGTTTAACATATTTACAACTGGGGATGTAAAAGCAGTAAATGCTGAAGTGATGAAGAAAAGTGTGGGATTGAATGATAAGGTAATTAACTTGATACAAAGTGGGAGTTGCCAAAATTGCCTCCTGCTGATTTTGCCAATGATATGTATACCCTTGCCGGTTAAATGCTTAGTTATGATTATAACAACAATAATGCCAATGATACAGGCTTTTGTGACCCTCCTCGATAACAACCCCACCCTTGACACCGACTGCCCTTTGACTTTTTGTCAGCAACAGCTTTATTACACAAATTTTGATTATACATATTTCCTTTACCACTCCTCACTACCCCACCTACCTCTACCTCTGTTATACTATTTACCCTCGCTGGTCTCGGAACAGGCATATTACACCTTTAGTGCACACTACCCTGCAGCTCTACAACCCTTATGGGTTCAGCACTTGGTTTTGATTATAATATTAATAGGCTTTTGTGAGATTTAGAATAGAAGTTGCAAAGGTTGATAGATGAGTTTGGTATTGTATAAAAAAAAAAAAACCAGTAAGGTAATGAAGGAAAATCAATGAAAAATTGGACATCAGATTGGAAGGAAAGAGTATGGAGTAGGTGAATGTATTTACAGTATCCTCTTCTGTAAACTTAATCTGGAACTTTATACAGTATTTAGGATCTGTACATGTGTGAATGCCCAACAATAACCTACCCCTTATCCCCTTTTCTCTCAACCATTGTTCTCTTAATAATGAAATTAAGTAAAATATAAAATACATAAAACTGTACTTTATGTATGATTTGTAGTACATATACTGCTACACATTATACAGCATACTATCTATAATGTTATAATTCTTTTGACCATATATAGCTCTGCTATAAGCTGAGGGCTGCACTGCATAACCCTACTAATAATACCTCTCCCTCTTGCTACCCAATACCCCTGTATTCTTCCCTGCCCTGCAATGAACAGGTGGATGCTACTGCGTGGTCAGCGGTACATGATCTTCCGGTTTCCTATAGAGGTATTCCATTCAGGGATTATTTTACAATCATCTCTGCCTGTCTTCGTGGCCATTGGCAACAATGGTGGTCAGACATGTACCATAACAAACTGCACTCAATTAAACCGCTTTTAGGTTTGTGGCCATCTTCTTACCACCGCTGCCATACTCAGGTGACTGTGCTCTCCCATTTCTGCATCAGCCATACCTGCCTTACTCATGGGTATCTCATGGAATGGCACCCCATTCCTCTCTATGAGGTTTGTCAGGTCCTTATTTCAGTTCTTTGCCTTCTTGTGGATTGCCCGCTTTACCAACGAGTTCGCAAAATATACCTCCAACGCTGCCGCTGCCCTACTGCTTTTACCTTATCTTCCCTCCTTGCAGACAGCCCTGCCTTTGACTTACAATCACTTTTTGACTTTTTGTCAGCAACTGCTTTACTGTACGAACTTTGACACATAGCCCTTAACATACCTTCCAGCACTTTTCTGCCCTCACCTCTGATCCCATCTCCACCTAGCTGTTTATAGCCCCAGCTCTATTTTCTGCCCTGCAGGGGTGCATGACCCTTGTCGGTTTAGTATTTTCTTTGATTATAATAATAATTTGTTGGTTTAGTGCTTCTTTTGTAATAATTATATAGCTGAGGGATATAACTAGGAGTCACATTTCTGGGTTACAAAGGTGAATGTAAAGCCAATATTTTATGGCAATAAACAGCAACATGTGCCATTTAAGAAGCTCGAGACATGGGGGCTCTAAGATTAAAATCACTGCCAATTATTAAATGTGAACTGAAGTTAACTGTATAACATATGTTTCTGAGATTGTCACAGAATTATAAAACAGAAGTGAGTACAATTCAAATAATAAAACTGAACAAAATTGAGCTCCAGTATTACTTTTGAATCTGAAATGATCAGGTGGGTAAGCAAGGATAACTAATCAGATACAGTACTTACTGGTAGCCCTGAAACGTCAGAATATTTTTTAGCAGGCGTGAAGGCAGGAGGAGCATCTATACTGCTATCTGAAAGGTATATTTAGATTACATACAAGCCATGAACTAAAAGGAAAAATAATTTTACATATTTTAGTAATATTTTTTAAATCATTCCAGTTAACTTTCAATCTCTCTTCCCTCTCATTCCTACTTACAGGTCAAAACAAAATTAAAATGCAAAACCTATTCTAGCATTTAAAAAAAAAAAAATATACCGAGGTTAAAAATTATACATAAAACTAGTTCATTTGAATGTCTCTTATCATATTAAAGATGTTTATTCTACACTTTTTATTACAATAACCTGACTCTACTCTTAACTACAGTTTTATATACATGCAAAGCTTTATAAAAAAAAATTAACACAAAAATCCTACAGAATTTAAAATTTTCGAAGTTCTAGTAAGCTAAAGCCTGTTAAAAAAAAATCTTTAAAAGTGCATAGTATTAAAATGTACTTATCAAAATAAATATGGTTTGTATGCAAGCGTACATGAGCATGTTAGATAGGAGTGAATGGAGACGAATGGTACTTGGGACCTGACGATCTGTTGGAGTGTGAGCAGGGTAATATTTAGTGAAGGGATTCAGGGAAACCGGTTATTTTCATATAGTCGGACTTGAGTCCTGGAAATGGGAAGTACAATGCCTGCACTTTAAAGGAGGGGTTTGGGATATTGGCAGTTTGGAGGGATATGTTGTGTATCTTTATATGTGTATGCTTCTAGACTGTTGTATTCTGAGCACCTCTGAAAAACAGTGATAATGTGCGAGTGTGGTGAAAGTGTTGAATGATGATGAAAGTATTTTCTTTTTGGGGATTTTCTTTCTTTTTTGGGTCACCCTGCCTCGGTGGGAGACGGCCGACTTGTTGAAAAAAAAAAAAAAATGTACGTATGTGGTGTACCTGCCTATTTGTGGCCGTAAGAGTCGAGTCTCAGCCTCTGGCCCCACCTTTGCTAGCTGCTACAGGATTTGCACTCTCCTGGCTACCTGAACCCTGTCATACCTATTCCTAATTTTTTTGTGTATGCATGTGTGCACAAACAATTTATTCATTTAAAAAGTGTTCACAAACATTAAGCAATGGCTGACATTGGGCTAAAGCAAAGCTACTTATCATGGGTGATTTCAACCACAAAAAGACCCTTTTGGGTTTAGCATTTAATTTAATTACTTTATTACTCAAACATAAAGAAACAGCTTGGGAGAACTGGAACCCATTCAGAGGACCTGACATGTGGTGGGCTAAGTTGAAGGAGGTGATTAAACTTTTTTGAGTCAGCATGGTAAGGATGTAATGAGAGAGAGGAGAGAGGACAACTGAACAAGACTGAATCTAGCATTTACCAGAAGTGCATCTGACATAGATGAAATAGAATATGAGAGCCCCCTGGGAACTAGTGATCATACAGTCCCAATTATCAAGCACCACAGAGCTGTATGACCCTTTTGAGTTTAGTGCTTAGTTATGATTATAATAATAATAATAATCATCAAGCACCAATGGAACTAAAGTTAGAGGGATAAATGACGGGTGGAGGGAGTGAGAAATTATTGAGTGCAGTGCAGTGGGGCAGAGAATCATAAGGTTCTCTATCCCATGATGGAGTACCCAGCTGAAAATTGCCAGGAGGTAGAGAAGAACTTCCTACCCAGAAGATGTGGAAACATCAAAGATAAAGAGAGCTCTTGGTTTAACTAGAGATGCAGAGGAAAAAAATGACAGCATGGAAAAACTACAGAAATCAAAAGACAGATAAGTACGAAGAAGTGAGAAGATTAACCAGAAACAAACAAGTTTGGGTGAGGAGATATGCTGAGTGATAATTTGAAAATGACAGTAGCAGCAAAGGCCAAGTCTAAGCCAAAATTACTTCACAACTACATTAAAAAAAAAAATAAAAATTAAATACCAGGTAATTCTACTTTATTCTCTCTATTTCTTCCTCTAAGATTGTAATTAATTAACATTGGGGCACAGTAGTAAGTGCTACAACCACCGCAAATTATATGATGAGTATATTAACCCTTTCAGGGTCCAAGGCCCAAATCTGGAGTCACGCACCAGTGTCCAAGAATTTAAAAAAAAAAAATTTGTTATTTTTTCTTATGAAATCGTAGAGAATCTTTTTGTGAAGGTAATAAAACAAAAAGTACGAAATTTGGTGGAAAATTGACGAAATTATGCTCTCGCGAATTTTGATGTGTCAGCGATATTTACGAATCGGCGATTTTGCCGACTTTGACTCCCATTTTAGGCCAATTACATTATTCCAAACAACCAAATTCTTAGCTATTTCACTAGTATTACTTCTATTCTATCGACTGAGCACAAGAAATCGCCAAGTCAACTGTTTCAACTACAAAATAAAGTGATCGGAAATTGTTAATTTGGCCAATTTAACACAAAGTTCAAAATATTCCAATTTCAAAATAGGGTCCAGAATGAACAATGTAGGCATTCCTTGCACTAAACTAACATTTCCTCTGTTCATTAGTTATGTTTTGAGGCTTTACAAATAAATTCCATTTTGATTTTTTATTCACATAATGAATTTTTATTCACACCAAAAAATAGAAGATTTACTGTTATGCAATACTGTAATAATTGTATAAATATCATCACCATATTTGTGAATGTATATTAGACCCACCAGCTGATGTGTATTAGACGTGTGAGGTCGTTTGTTTACTCTTGAATATCGGCAAAAATTTAACATTTCCGCTACTTTGAGCTCAGTTTCAAGCCATTTCCAAAGCTAAAACCAATCAAAATCATCTCTATTTCTGTAATATGTCTTCCATTCTATCAAATGAGACCAAGAAATCGCAAATACAACTATAAAAAACATACGAAAATACACTGCAAAGTTGCTGTTTTAATCGAAAAATCATGATTTCATTTTTTTTCTCTCATTATACACAGTGCGCTGCAGGATCTGTTTTATGTGGTGCACACATACCACATAGATGTATTCTCTCATATCTAGGCCCAAATGTACCACTCACAGTTTATCAGAGTGAGCTGAGCTCATGGCGTAGATCTACGGTTTGGACCCTGAACGTAAAGCCGTAGATCTACGGGACGGACCCTGAAAGGGTTAATGAAGCTGGGACACCACAAGCTTCATTCTGCTCCTGTAGCTAGAAACAGGTTATTACAAATGGGTCATTACACATATATAAATAATCATACATAAAACATCAGAGCATATGATGAAAAACTGAACAGATGATAAAAACTAGAATTCTTTCTTAAATTCTATGAGTAAACACCTATGGTGTTTACACGTATAGGTAAACACCTATGGTGTTTATTTATACATATAGCTTACAAAGGTCCAGCAATAGCATAACAGGTCAAATCATTTGTAGGTGGCCCCTTCAGTAAATGCCTGAAGTTAGTGACTAAGAATGTAGAAAGTTCAGTAATTTCACTGTACTGCATATAGAAGAGCATAAATTAATTAAAAAAAAAAAGCAAAGCTAGTTCAGTCTCTACAAAGGAAATGTAAATGAGTAAAACCAACTTACAATGAACACAATCATGTGGCCAGGTGTATGTCCTTTCTAGGGAAATGATCTGCTTGAGATTTCTCCATCCCCTTTTTTTGCTGCTACGGAAGGCAGTGTGCTAGATTAAAAAGTGAAGAATTTTCATTATTTTTTTTTATTAACACACTGGCCATTTCCCACCAAGGCAGGGTGGTCCAAAAAAGAAAAACTTTCATCATCATTCACTCCATCACTGTCTAGCCAGAGGCACACTTACACCAATTACAAAACTGCAACATTAAAACCCCTCCTTCAGAGTGCAGGCACTGTACTTCCCACCTCCAGGACTCAAGTCTAGTGAGCTTGTTTCCCTGAATCCCTTCATAAATGTTACCTTGCTCACACTCCTATAGAAGAATATGCACTGTAAAAAAGAATGCCAGTCACAATACCGTGGCCACAGCAATTCACAAATAACTTATACCTAGAGGAAACTTTAGATGATGTTTCAGTCCATCCTGAATCATCATGATAATGGTCCAGGATGAAGTTTCCTCTCCTAAGTATGGGTTATTTGTGAATACACAGTACCTTGTTATTCCTACCAGAGGGATGACAAGCAAGTGTAGGATAAAAGCCCACCCTGGACCAAAACCATTATCCTAACCCAATATAACTGAAGGGCATGTATCCAAGTTTGCACCTTAACTAAGTGGCTTTTGTCCTGACCCTGGCACAAGTAATGCATCATAATACCATATAATACCAACAGTCATCTGATGAACTTTCCTTAAGCAAAACTAGTTAAATGAGAAACAGACTTTGGGGTCAGCTTTGATCATCATCAACAGAGTTCAACAAAATTCTCTCACTCACCATCTCTAAAGTTTTTACAAAACTGATCATACATAAAGCTGATAATGCAATCACTTAGTTTTATTTGTTGCCTGAGCATCTATATTACTGTGCAACCTCATGCTCATTCTGTGAGCAGAAGCATAAGACAAACAGGATTACAGGTCACAATGGGTTTCTCATATCCCACTGGGCATAGTTACATCTTTACAGATATTACAGCCATTTCATATATTACAATTACTTTACATGGTTACACAATATAATATGGAGATCCAATCTCAAAAAATTTAGGGACCTTATTACCGCTGAAAATAACACTGGTCACTGGCTCAGTTGACAATGTTCTCAGCTCACAATGAGGATAAAACATTGGGAATGTTTCCTTAAACCGTCTGTCCCTCTTCAACTAGCAGTAAGTATGCACCTGGGTGTCAGTTGACTGTTGTGGGTCATACCTTGGGGGAGATTAAGGGCTCCAATGGAAATAAGAAAGACTATCTCGGATGGTGCACAGACAGTTATTGTGAGAGGCTAACCCTCTGGGTTAAAATTCTGAACAAAATCATAGCCTATCTTACTTTATCTTATCAAGTTTCAGTTTCATCAAATACCAGTCCTTACTCAACTCTGCAATCTTGACCTCTAGTAAGCAAGAATATTTATGTACAGTTGCACTAATTTAGGTGATTACAATTATCATACATGGTAACATATATGTAAATTATCAAGGCAATCCCCAAAAAAACATAAAACAAAGTAACATTTCTATTGGGGTCTATTCTACATTTCACCTCTTCTGCTATATAATGCCATTCATATCTTGTCTAAACTGATTGATAAAGTCCTGGCAGACGAAGATAAGATTTTGTTTAGATTTTTAACCCTGGAGGACTAGCCACCCAGCATAACCCTAGAAAGTCACCGCATCATTGAGGACTGTCTTGTCATTTCTATTAAGGTCCTTAAATCTTGTTCCCCCAGGATGTGACCCAAAACAGTTGACTAACACTCAGGTAATACCTAATTACTTGCTAGGTGAACAAGACAGCAAGTTTAAGGAAATACGCCCAATGTTTCTACCCTTGCCGGCGATCGAACCATGGACACCCAGCATGTGAGGGGAGAGCGTTGCCTACCAGGCCACAGGATACCCATAACCTACAGTGCCTTTATCACTAAGAAAATTTTCTACTGGCACCAGAAACTATGATAAAATAACCTAGGCAATGCTTATATGCTAATACAGTAATGATTATACAAGGTGTCACGTAGCTCGATTGCTAGCGCACTCAGCTCACACACTGAGGTCTGGGATTGAATCTCTGGTATGGTTGGAAAACATTAGGATGTGTTTCCATAAAACATCTACTGTCCATGTTCACCCATCAGTCTGTCTTCAAGCAGGCACTGGACATACACCTAAAGTCAGTACCTGACCAGTCAGGCTGTGGTTCGTATGTTGGGTTGTGTGCAGCCAACAGTAACAGCCTGGTTGATCAGACCCTGATCCACCATGAGGCCTGGTCGCAGACCGGGCCACAGGGGCATTGACCCCTGAAACCCTCTCCAGGTAAGTAAGTTTATTCAGGTATACACAGCTACATTAATAATCATACATACATCATCAATGGAAATAAGTCACTCTGTCTGACTTTTTGGGTTATCCCAGGTTCTCTACACATATGCTCCCATGTATGATAATCTATGTAATTATTTGCGTATATCTAAATAAACTTACTTAATCATTATGTTATTATGATGAGCCTGGCTCAAGGCTGGGCTCTCGAAGCAGAAAAACTTTGAACTTATCAAACATTAGGATGTCTATATTTCATTGTTTTAAATAGTACATCATAATATAAATTGCTCCATTGTAATACCAAATTTCATTGTTTTAAATAGTACTAAACTGTGATACATCACATTGTAAATTGTTTTAAATTGTTATATTGTAATACTTTAATCTTTATTAACTAATTCAACAGTGTAATAAGCCTCTACTAGACATTAAAACCATGTAGTATTACCTGATAGAATATAAAATTCTCCTGTACTCACTGTAACTCATCTAATGACTATATGAACTATGTATTATTGCCTTCCTAATCTTAACTTAATCTTTAAGTTTGCCAGAAATGCTGTGCATACAAAGAGGCCATTGGCATGTACACCCAACTATTATATTCCTCTGTACAACCATGTAACTTATCAATTATTATTATTATAATCAAAGGGAAGCGCTAAACCTGTAGGATTATACAGCGCCTGGGGAATGGGTTTAATTCAGGGAACTGGAGAACAGATCCAATTCCCTAGATCAAGAGCATCAAGGAACCTTCCTTGGGTGTAACTTGTCAAAATAAACATCTTAATCTTAAAGGTAAAAGTATAATAAGTTTATTCATGTATACACAAATACAGTTACAGTATATCATCATCATACAGTACTTCAGTCCATACCTGAAATTCTGGGTTTTTAAATACAGGAGCTTTTTTTTCCTCCTTTTCTTCTATTACCTCCTCAGTTACCATTGTTGTTGTTGTTAAGGGTTGTGGGCGCCACAGCCTCTGAGTCCCACCTCCCGGAGTCTGGGGAACCAATAGTGCCTCAAGATGACCAAAATTGGAAAGGAAACGGGAGTTTCCTTCGAGAATAGAGACGGGAATAAGATTCCCAATTAGATCAGTAAGTTTATTTAGGCATAGGTACACATAAGTACAATTATCATATATAGTGTAAATTACCTAGGATAACCCCCCAAAAAGTGACGCTAAACTGAGTTAGCAACAGGCTTCTTGCAGACCTTAGAAATCTGCAGAGCGAAAAGCAGAGTTGATTAATGGCGTCCTAGACCAGACCAGTTGTTCTACAGACTTCTATTGTTAGGTTCCTCCTCCTCCTCCTCTTCCTCTTCATCTTCCACTTCTAAGGAAGTGTGCCAGTCTTTACCTTGGATCGAACGTGATTGTCTCCCATTTTCCAAGATCTGTATGATACCAACAAGTTTACTGTTATTCTATAAAGATAATAATAATGATAATTGATAATGATGATATACAAGTTGAAGTTTTTCAAATAACGGGAAAGAATTGAAGGTATACAGGAAGGAAAAGGTACGGATAATAATGAGTAAGTACAAACTGGAACAGTTAGCTTCTTTAAGCACAGTTTAAGTCCAGTGGAATGTGTTACTGGGTTCATACCTCAGCTTGACCGTAAGATAAGTTTTTTTTTAACCCCGGAGAGTTAGCCACCCAGGATAACCCAAGAAAGTCAGTGCTTCATCGAGGACTGAGTGCTCATCGAGGACTGAGTGCTCATCGAGGACTGAGTGCATCATCGAGGACTGAGTGCTCATCGAGGACTGAGTGCTCATCGAGGACTGAGTGCATCATCGAGGACTGAGTGCGTCATCGAGGACTGAGTGCATCATCGAGGACTGAGTGCGTCATCGAGGACTGAGTGCGTCATCGAGGACTGAGTGCGTCATCGAGGACTGAGTGCATCATCGAGGACTGAGTGCGTCATCGAGGACTGAGTGCATCATCGAGGACTGAGTGCGTCATCGAGGACTGAGTGCATCATCGAGGGCTGAGTGCGTCATCGAGGACTGAGTGCATCATCGAGGGACTGAGTGCGTCATCGAGGACTGAGTGCATCATCGAGGACTGAGTGCGTCATCGAGGACTGAGTGCATCATCGAGGACTGAGTGCGTCATCGAGGACTGAGTGCATCATCGAGGACTGAGTGCGTCATCGAGGGCTGAGTGCGTCATCGAGGACTGAGTGCGTCATCGTCACAGAGTGACTTCTGTGCTCGCCTTAGTGTGATATAGACGTCTCACATCACTGATAAATTTTCCCTGCTTTCTTTTCATGGTACATTTGTTCTTAAGATCAACCCTCTGGGAAATTAGTTATAGCGTCATGCATCAGCTTCTTTTAGGACAAAGAATAGTCTGTTGTTATTGATTTAGATGAAAATGTGTGTGTGGGTATCTGGTCCCACCTTGGTTATGCCAGTGGGTACACTTGACCGTTTCTCTTTTCGAAGGAAATTTCGTTTTCCTTATAATTCTCGTCAATATTTGGGCAACATATTTTCCCCAGAATCCTGGGACGTAAGCCTCAACGGGGAAGTCATTGACATAAAATGCAGTGTGTGAGCAGACAGGTTTAGCTCAGTTCAGCCGCCTCTGAGCGACTAGTTTATTGTACATTCCGGACTTATCCTGTGAGAGGTACTCATAAAACAGGAGTACAGAGGTCACAATGGATCTTTGTTACACCCCACTGACTAGTGTAACGTCACTGAAAAGGAATACTAGTCATTTCGTATTTTACAATTACTTCAAATAGTTGTTGTACATAGTACAGTTAGGAATACAATCTAAATATATATATATATATATAATATATATTTTTATATTATATATATATATATATATATATATATATATATATATATATATGTAATATATATATATATATATATATATATATATATATATATATTATATATTATATATATATATATATTATATATATATTATATATTTAATATATTTATATATATATTGCCACTATTTTTTTTTACAATTTCTTCATATAGTTTAATACTGTACAGTAAGAAATAGAATTTAAAAAAACACAGAGCAGGGCAATATTCTGTCCAAACAACCAACTTTTCAGATACCTCCATGCAAACCCTATAGGATATGGTAAAATACCTTATTGTTAATGAGAAGATAAGCTATCTTGACATTTTAGTTTAGTTTAGGAAATAAGTCACTCTGTCTGACTTTTTTGGGTTATCCCAGGTTCTCTACACATATGCTGCTATGTATGATAATTCTATGTAAGTGTATTTGTGTATACCTGAATAAACTTACTTACTTACTTACTTAGAACTATTGTACAACTTAAACTATGATCAATTTCTTTAGTAGTAAGTAAGCCATTAAATTAAGTCTGCCCATAAACTATGATCAATTTCTTTAGTAGTAAGTAAGCCATTAAATTAAGTCTGCCCATAATGCCTAGGCATGATAAGGTTCTCTTTGCACTGTAACTTATTATTGTAAATACATAATCTCAGTGTACTACTTGCAAAGAAATAAAATTGGATTTGATTTGAAGTACCCCATACCCATCCTGTGGGCGGTAATCAAAAGATTACAGAGGTACATAATGGGTCCAGGGACTGGACCCACATTGTAATCTTTAAAGAGAATAAACTTTTGATTTGATTTGATTTAATACCTGAATAAATTTACTTGCAGCTCAGGCGACACAACTATGGCTTAAAAAAAACACCAGCTTTGGTAGCCCTGTTAACAACCCTCAACACCACCACCACCATCACTGGTCGCTGCGTGTCTTCACTCTTATTAACTATCTAGACAGACTTGTGGGAGCTGAGCTTATATTTCATATACTGAAGTAACCTATAACAATCATGCCTTCAGGTTAGCTACATTTGATTACTGTCTGATGAGTAACCATGTTCAGTATTGGCATTATTATGGGACGAAGTTCAGGGATGTAACCTTAGGGAGGTTCCTTGATGTTGGTGAGGGGCTCTTGATCTAGGGAATTGAATCTGTGCTCTAGTTCCCTGAATTAAGCCTGAATACCCCCCCCTCCACATGCGCTGTATAATCCTATGGATTTAGCGCTCCCTCATGATTATAATAATAATTAAGTGTGACCATTTCCAAGGTAGCCATGGAAGTACTGTAGTAACTGGTGCTTTGTTTTAAGCAATAAGAACAGCCTCATAAGAGTGTAAGAGGGATTTAAAAGAAGGAAGAACATTAAAAAAATTGTCATCTGGTGGGAATGTCAGCAACAACATGGCTATGTAGGCACGTTTTTGTAGCCGAGCCTGGCCCATGGCCGGACTCTGACAATAGTCAGACTCGAAACTCATCAAAGGTATATAAAGGTGGTTTAGGGACAAATGTCTTATGTCTTAGACTAAGTAGGTTAGGCACTTTACTTTCTCTGAAGCAATATAATAGTACAGGTTACCATTTCCAAAGCGACCACAATAATATAATCCAGCTATTTTTTTTTTATATTTTACGTGGTACTGTAACATGGGAGTAGCATCGGCTGATGTTGTATTAAAGTGTGGCAAAAAATCATTCTGGAAAGTGATCTATCTAATGTTCTGAAGTTGTCAATCAGTCATGAGAAGTCTCCAGTATATTTCTAATCTTACCTGAACGCAAATTAAGTTTTATTTTAAGAAGTTACAGAATGTTCTGTCTGTTTAATTTGCTGACACCTGATTTGAAAAGATGTTGGCTTCAACAAGCCACTAACCTAACCTAACTTAATTTCACCCTTTACTGTGTATTAAGCTTAAAGACATAGCTTAACCACTTAATGCACCTGGTGCCGATGTTGACTTAGTGTTGTGCTCAGCCATGTGCAAGAAGACTCATAATGCCTAGGCATAATGGAGGCTCTCTTTGCATTGCAACCCACTTCTGTAAATACAAAATCTCAATGTACTGTTTGCAAAGACATAAAATAAATAAATAAATAAATGATAAAAATGGTCACAGCTTTGTTTTGCAATTTTTAAATTGAAATTTCTCATGAATATTTCTTGTTAAATTTCATTTTAATTTCTAGTAAAATGATATACCTTTATTCTAAACTAATAACCCTAGCTTTATCTTATCCTGTGTTAGTAATGTTAAGGATGCCTTCTTTATTATGGCTCTTAGCCTCACTTCAAGTGACCACTAAAAATGAACACAACACCTAAAAAGCAAAAATGTGCCCTTGGTTAATGATCTCTTTGCATGTAAAACACAACTTAAGCAAAATAAGTTTCAGAGTTAACTCTTTAGTAATCGTAGAAAGAAGGTTAGGTATGGTTCGTCAGGAAACAGGACAAGTGTCTCCTGACGCGGGTCTTAGTCAGATGATGACATTAGAGCTTTTGGTCATCTGACCGAGGCTCTTCACTGGCTTACCGGTCCACCCCTTAAAAAATTATGGTCATGGTTCTAACCATTCAGTTATGCAGAAAGAAGAAAACAGCAAGTCTAATAAATATCACTGTTTTCAGATTTTGTAGTTTGTATAAAACTTTAAATGTAGGTCTGTAATTAAGTTGATCTTAAAAACTGTATTTTATTATTAAAATAGTTTTTTTTTCTCTCTTTTTTAGGCTGTATATAATTATGCCTAATAAATTTAATATTTTCAGGTGGTGAGGAAGTGTTTTCCAACCCATTGGCACCACCAGGGGAAACTGTTATTGATGAAAGGTTAGTGTAAGATAGTGCATATACGTATTTGGATTTCAAGTACAGTATATGATGACTCACTGTATACTGTTATGGGAATTCTTCCTTTTTATGTATTTATTTAAAGCTTTATATTGATAGAAGTTTGTGGGCTTCCTTATTTGTGGGTTTCTTATTCAATGTTTGTCTGGTAGTATCCACTTTTTCAGGCTTGGTGCATAATCTTTAAATAAAAAACTAGCCTTAAATTTCATTCAAATTGTGCTCATAGGTTCAGTAGTGATTTATTACAGATACAGTAGTTAATCCCTGAACTAGTGTTTGGTGAGCAGGGAAAGACTAGGAAGTCAGTGGTGCAACCAGGATTTTTATATTGGTGATAGGTTAAAAATCACAAGATGCTGACAAAGTCAAAGAAATCATTTTTAATAACATGATTTTTAGTGTGTATGTAAAATTTCTTAAACTATTTTGCATTTGTTGTCATGCAAAATTATTGTACACCAAGAAAGACTGGGATTGGTGTTGGTGTTCATTAGGTATAACTGTTAAGCAGTACTGTACTTCAATATGCATAAAAGTAAAGTTTAGTGCTATTGTCACTGTGGAAGGTAAAAACCTGACCAAACAGCTGCAGTAGTGAATATTAGCCACTAATTGAAAAGAAAAAAATATTTGCATCTGGGGGTAAGGCTTTAGTCCCACTTTAATAATTTCTTAAATATTTTTAGGCCACAACGCCTCACCAATGCAGACTTTCGAAAATTGTTAATGACTCCTCGTGCTCCGCCTGGGAGTCAGAAAGAAACAGTTTCTTCTGCCGGAACCAAAACTTCCAGTACTGAGCCACCTACTCAACGCCGTGAAAATAAAGATGATGTTCGAGCTGCTGAGAGAAAGAAAAAAAAGAGGTAATGGAAAGTGAGTGTGAGTGTGAGTGAGTATGAGTGTGTGTGTGAGTGTGAGTATGAGTGAGTGTGAGTGTGAGTATGAGTGAGTGAGTGTGAGTGTGAGTGTGTGTGTGTGAGTGTGTGTGTGAGTGTGTGTGTGAGTGTGTGTGTGAGTGTGTGTGTGAGTGTGTGTGAGTGTGTGTGTGTGTGTGTGTGTGTGTGTGTGTGTGTGTGTGTGTGTGTGTGTGTGTGTGTGTGTGTGTGTGTGTGTGTGTTTGTGTGAGAATATGTGTACTCACCTAATTGTGGTTGCAGGAGTCCAGTCATAGCTCCTGGCCCCTCCTCTTCACTGGCTGCTACTAGGTCACTCTCTCCCTGCTCCATGAGCTTTATCATACCTCATCTTAACATGTATGGATCCTGCCACCACTACATCACTTTCCAGGCTATTCCACTTCTTGACAACTCTTTGACTGAAGAAGTACTTCCTAATATCCCTGTGACTCATCTGAGTCTTTAACCTCCAATTGTGACCCCTTCTTACTGTGTCCCATCTCTGCAACATCCTGTCTCTGTCCACCTTGTTGATTCCTCTCAGTATTATACAAAATCTCAATGTACTATTTGCAAAGACATAAATGAATAAATAAATAAAGCCCCCCCATCTCTCCTGTCCTCCAGTGTCATTACATTGATTTAACTTAACCTCTCCTCATAGGATTTACCCCTTAGCTCTGGGACTAGTTTTGTTGCAAACCTTTGCACTTTCTCTAGTTTCCTGATGTGCTTGCCTAGGTGTGGGTTCCAAATTGGTGCTGCATACTCTAGTATAGGCCTAATGTACACAGTGTACAGGGTCCTGAACGATTCCTCATTGAGATGTCACATACCATGATTCACTGTTTTTCCTACAGGTATTCCCTGATCCATTGCAGAGAGGGAGTGAGAAAGTGTGAGTGTGAGAGTGAGTGTGAGAGAGTGAAGGAGAGTGTGAGAGAGTGTGTGAGTGAGAGAGAGAGAGAGAGAGAGAGAGTGTGAGAGAGAGTGTGAGAGTGAGTGTGAGAGTGTGTGAGAGTGTGTGAGAATGTGTGTGAGTGTGTGAGAGTGAGTGAGTGAGTGAGTGAGTGAGTGAGTGAGTGTGTGTGTGTGTGTGTGTGTGTGTGTGTGTGTGTGTGTGTGTGTGTGTGTGTGGGTGTGTGTGTGTGTGCACGTGCACGCGTGCATGCACACATTCATGCATGCACCATGTACAGGTGTGAATGCATGCATGCATGCATGATGCATGTGTGTGTGTGTCTATATATGTACACTGTAAGTTGGTAAAAATTACAGCATCAGTTTACTCCTAATTCTGTTTTAAAGCCTAACTCATTCATCCCATTTCAAAACATAGAATTCAACATATTGCATTTTTTCTGTCAATTTTTTTCCAATCATTTTTAAATTTTTACTTCCAAAAAAAAAAATATAATCTTGTCATCTGGAATAGTTTTCATATGGCATTGCTGAGCAAGTAATATCTCTTGCTGCTTTGAAAAAGTCTAAATATTTCTTTCAGCCAGGTGTTTGCACTAAGAACTCAGCATCTCTTTTGGTGTGTTTGGGATACTTCCTCTTTTATTTAAATTTGACTTGGTACAGTATAGTTAATGACTTGGAAACATGGCATTCTTTAAATCTCACAACTTCCTTCTTGGAAAAAAATTATGGTAATGTTGTGTGGAATATGAATAATTGACTTGCTTGCTTTGTGACAATGTCTGTAATGTGACAGTTAATTAGTCATGATAGTAAAGAGCTGTTAATGACAGTTGCAAATTAATAATGACAGCACTGAATAACCACATGGTTCAGTTGCTTTGTTAATCACTTAATTGTTAACAATCATGCTGTAGTGCACACACACTGTCGGTACAGAAGAGAATCTTTTATTCAAAATTCCAAAATCCTAAAACCTCCAAAATTATTCAGACTTACTAATATAGATGAATGCTTTAAAATATATTCCATGTACGTACTGTCGGTACAGTAGAGAATCCTTTATTTGAAATCCCAAAATCCTAAAACCTCCAAAATCTGAATGTTTTTCAAGTGTTGACATGATGTGCCACAAATGGATCATTTGGTGCAAGATGTGGTGGAGGCTCGCTCCTCTGTCTGTTGAGCTGAGACAGATGAGCTTCATATTTGTATACTAGCACCAGTTGATTGTCAACAACAATTACTCACTGATTACCACGTGTTTTTGCTGTGGTGTGAAGATTTGTCAAAAGTGTCAAAAAGACCTACGGATAAAATTGATGTCATCAATGATGTACCCCCTCTCTCAAGTTTCTCAGACCTGTCATAGTTGTAGTGTCTGGGCCTGCATTTATCTTATTTTGTAAGCAGTGATCATTTTTTTTTTGGTATTGAACCTCTACAGTACAGTATCATGTTTAGCTTGGGTCTCATTCCCAATCTCTCCCATTTTATAGATGCAAATACTTTTACCAATATTCCAAAATCTGAAAAATCTGAAATCCAAAACACACCTGGTCCCAAGCATTTCAGATAAAGGATTTTTGACTGTATACTTACATTTGTTGGAAATGTAAGTACGTATACAGAGAAGGGATTCAGGGAAACCGGCAGGCCGGACTTGAGTCCTGGAGATGGGAAGTACAGTGCCTGCACTCTGAAGGAGGGGTGTTAATGTTGCAGTTTAAAAACTGTAGTGTAAAGCACCCTGCTGGCAAGACAGTGATGGAGTAAATGATGGTGAAAGTTTTTCTTTTTTGGGCCACCCTGCCTTTGTGGGAATTGGCCAGTGTGCTAATAAAAAAAAAGTATCTGTTTACATAGACATAAATTTTTCTCTGCAGAAAAATTACAAGAAGGTAATGTTTAATATATATGTTTTCTTATAGTTACTATGCCAAGATCAAGAAGGAAGAGGAAGAAAAAATGGCTGAGTTGGCAGAGAAATACCGTGACAGAGCTAAAGAAAGACGTGAAGGGAAAAATCCCGACTATCAAGCAGAAGATCCTTCTCAAGCTGGTATGGGAGGTTACCGTGCTGTTGCTCCAGATCTGAAATCGTAAGTATATTTTCAGTAGTAGGTAGTAGGTTGGTAGACAGCAATCGCCCAGGGAGGTACTACCGTCCTGTCAAGTGAGTGTAAAACGAAAGCCTGTAATTGTTTTACATGATGGTAGGATTGCTGGTGTCCTTTTTTCTGTCTCATAAACATGCAAGATTTCAGGTACGTCTTGCTATTTCTACTTACACTTAGGTCACACTACACATGCATGTACAAGCATATATTTTTTTTTTTTTTTTCAACAAGTCGGCCGTCTCCCACCGAGGCAGGGTGACCCAAAAAAGAAAGAAAATCCCCAAAAAGAAAATACTTTCATCATCATTCAACACTTTCACCACACTCACGCATTATCACTGTTTTTGCAGAGGTGCTCAGAATACAACAGTTTAGAAGCATATACGTATAAAGATACACAACATATCCCTCCAAACTGCCAATATCCCAAACCCCTCCTTTAAAGTGCAGGCATTGTACTTCCCATTTCCAGAACTCAAGTCCGACTATGTGAAAATAACCGGTTTCCCTGAATCCCTTCACTAAATATTACCCTGCTCACACTCCAACAGATCGTCAAGTCCCAAGTATCATTCGTCTCCATTCACTCCTATCTAACACGCTCACGCACGCTTGCTGGAAGTCCAAGCCCCTCACCCAAGCATATATATATGTATATATACACATCCCTCTGGGTTTTCTTCTATTTTCTTTCTAGTTCTTGTTCTTGTTTATTTCCTCTTACCTCCATGGGGAAGTGGAACAGAATTCTTCCTCCGTAAGCCATGCGTGTTGTAAGAGGCGACTAAAATGCCGGGAGCAAGGGGCTAGTAACCCCTTCTCCCGTATAAATTACTAAATTTAAAAAGAGAAACTTTTGTTTTTCTTTTTGGGCCACCTTGCCTCAGTGGGATACGGCCGGATTGTTGAAAAAAAAAAAAATTCAGTTTGATTAATATTTATCATATATTTATATATTTATCATATGTAGGTAGTAGGTTGGTAGACAGCAACTGCCCAGGGAGGTACTACCGTCCTGCCAAGTGAGTGTAAAACGAAAGCCTGTAATCGTTTTACATGATGGTAGGATTGCTGGTGTCTTTTGTCTGTCTCATAAATATGCAAGATTACAGGTAAGTCTTGCTACTTCTACTTACACTTAGGTCACACTACACATACATGTACAAGCATATATATACACACCCCTCTGGGTTTTCTTCTATTTTCTTTCTAATTCTTGTTCTTGTTTATTTCCTCTTATCTCCATGGGGAAGTGGAACAGAATTCTTCCTCTGTAAGCCATGCGTGTCGTAAGAGGCGACTAAAATGCCGGGAGCAAGGGGCTAGTAACCCCTTCTCCTGTATATATTACTAAATTTAAAAGGAGAAACTTCAGTTTTTTCTTTTGGGCCACCCCACCTCAGTGGGATACGGCTGGTACGTTGAAAGAAGAAAAAAAAGAAATTTAATGTTAGCCATAGGTAGTAGGTTGGTAGACAGCAACCGCCCAGGGAGGTACTACCGTCCTGCCAAGTGAGTGTAAAATGAAAGCCTGTAATTGTTTTACATGATGGTAGGATTGCTGGTGTCCTTTTTTCTGTCTCATGAACATGCAAGATTTCAGGTATGTCTTGCTACTTCTGCTTACACTTAGGTCACACTACACATACATGTACAAGCACATATATACACACCCCTCTGGGTTTTCTTCTATTTTCTTTCTAGTTCTTATTCTTGTTTATTTCCTCTTATCTCCATGGGGAAGTGGAACAGAATTCTTCGTAAGCCATGCGTGTTGTAAGAGGCGACTAATATGCCGGGAGCAAGGGGCTTGTAACCTCTTCTCCTGTATATATTATTAAATGTAAAAGGAGAAACTTTCGTTTTTCCTTTTGGGCCACCCCGCCTCGGTGGGATACGGCCGGTGTGTTGAAAGAAAGATTTAATGTTAGTAACTTTATATATGCATCTCTATCATTAAGACAGCAGTTGCCATAAGATTATCAACAAAGGTACCTTAAACACTAAAATATGTATTAGAGTAAGCCTTTAGTATATATATTATACAACAGTGTAGACCTTTATACTCATACTTTGATTCCTCCCAGAATCCCAGTCATTAGCTGTATGCATTGAATATTCCTTGGCATATTACATAACCTTTGATACTCCTACATTTATTTCAGACCATTTGCTCTGTATAACATTAACTCTGAAATGTACTCTCTTTTCCTTCTTAAAATATCTTCAAATGCATTAACCAATCCAAAATCCACACATGCTCATCACACTCCATAGTCCTTCTTTGTTCACCTTAACATGTGCACATGAATGGAGTAATTTTATATATGTACCAATGTAGAAGGACTAATTTTATATAACATACTATGCTGACATAGATGGGCCAGTAGGCCTGCTGCAGTGTTCCTTCTTTCTTATGTTCTCATGTTCTTATTTTTCCCCAAGTACCTCATTATAAATATCTGATACACATAACCTCAAATATGGTTTAGGACACTGTTTCTCATTTCAGTGGTTTGGACGCTGCTGAACGTCGTAAGCAAATGATCCAAGAGTCCAAGTTCTTGGGTGGTGACATGGAGCATACTCATTTAGTAAAAGGCTTAGATTATGCATTGTTGCAGAAGGTACGATCAGAAATCCAAATTAAGGAATCTGAAGTTTTAGTGGAAATTGAGCGACCCATTTCCTCTGATGCACCAAAGGAGAAGAAGCCACCACCTCCAGTTGTTCCTCAGCAGGAGGAGGATGAGCTGGTATTCAAGCAAGTATCGAAAATATTACACTTTATTTTGTATATTGTATCTTACCAGTACATAAAAAATGTTTACATTAGAAATTTAATCTTGTAAATACAGCCTTCCGCACTTAGCGACATACTCATTTACCGATGACTCGGACTTACGACGGGGGCTGTGACCAGTATGCATATCTAAATAATGTATATTAGAGCTGATTTCCTCAATTCTGTTTAACACAATACACAGTACACTACTGTAGAAACATTAAAAAATATATGAGAAATGTTACAAATTGTGCAAAGGTGATATTAAAACAATATCAAAGCTGGTTGACATAAACCCACTACCATTATAGTATGCTCCTCATTTAGTGATGAATTCATTTACCGACGTGGTTTTAGGAATGGAACTCTGTTGTTAAATGAGGAGAGGCTGTAATGTTTATTTTCTGTTATTTTATTAGTGCAGCATTATAGTGAAAAAACTTAGCGTTAAATCTGTAGAATGTCAGAATATAAAATATATGGTGCAGTCAGTAACTGCATATGAGATGTTGGGTTAATAAGTGAATGGGTATATAAAAAATACACTATTAATGTGCATTTTTGTTTTTTTTAGGACAAATATTGGTCGACGCATTTTCACAAGCATTTTCAACACGAAGCCTGCCGAATTCAATGATTTGTTCCTCACTGGTCGTATGGCATATGCTATTGATCTTGATGATGAAGTTGCAGAAAGTGATATTCCTACAACTGTAATTCGTTCCAAAGCTGACTTACAGGGCATTGAGGTAATAGATATACAGTAACTTGATGTTCATGTCCACTTCTTTGTGACTAACTTTTTTTTTTTTCAGTTACAGCATCCCTTTACAGAGTGGTATGTACAGTACATTCACTAATATTTATGTACAGTCTTCTGTCCATAAAAGAAGTGTTCTTGTTTCTTTTTTCTTTTCTGACCTCCACAGCTATGGTACTCAGTTTCTTTACTAAAATTAAAACTCTTCACTGTTTATTCTTCTGTCTGGGCTATTTTTGTAGTTTCATAAACTCTTCCTGATCTTGTATGAAAAAGCCTTCTTTTCTCCTTATCCCTATTCTGTGGTGATGATACCAGTATGCCTTCTCTATATTTCTAATTCATGTAATTTTAATATCCTTTACCTTCCGGTTATTAAATTTGCGCTAAGTGACACCATCTCATTTTGAAATAGTCTGGTTTATGCTTTACTGCTACTACTACTGCCACTGATACTTCGTGTTTTCTCTTTTTCCTACTCTCACTCTCATTAATATAAGGGTGAAATTGATAGCTCTCTTTCTGACAGACTAAGAACACAAGGAATACTTGCACTGCTGACACTCATAATGTTCTTTTCTGTCATGTTTGTGACCAATAGCTTTCCAGTATTTCGTCCCCTTCCAAAATGACTTATTCCATGTGTTGAATAAGTTATGGCATTGACCTTTTTTCTGTATATGCTCACTTATACAAGAATAATGATACTAATGCAGACATTAAAAAAACTTCCTGAAGAGGCACATTATGGGAAATAATTTTTATAACACACCAACTGTCTTCCACTAACTGTTTTTATTCTCCCCATCAGTTTTACATTGTCACCAAATAGGGATACATCTGAATCACTTCCATCTGGAATGTCATTCATGTAAACCAGAAATAGTACTGGTCTCAGTGCTTATCCCTGCAGAACCCTGCTTGTTACTCTTCCCAATTCTGATATCTTTTCCCTGACAGTCACTTTTGTCTCCTTTCCCAAGTACTCTTTGATTTACCTCAGCACGTTCCTTATTATTCCGGCCTGTACTTCGAGCTTTTTTTCCCCAGTCTTTTGTGGGGTACATTATTAAATGCCTTGCAATCCAAGCAAACACAATCCACCAATCCCCCTCTCTCCTGTCTCACTTCTGTTACTTTATCATAGAGCCCCAACAAGTTGGTAAGAGAAGATTTGCTATTTCTGAACCCTTATAATGAAATTTAGTTTTGTCATATGTGCAGCAATGTCTGACAAATAAAAAATTTCAAGAAATGATTATTAGCAGTGAATGATCCCCTTAAGGCTATACAAGCCTTTATCATGACCAAAAATAGGAAAAGGTAACTGAACCCTTTCAGCATTAACACTGTTTTTATTTTATAACTCATGACACAATAATTACAAATACAGTGGACCCCCGGTTTACGATATTATTTCATTCCAGAAATATGTTCAGGTGCCAGTAATGACCGAATTTGTTCCCATAAGGAATATTGTGAATTAGATTAGTCTATTTCAGACCCCCAAACATGTGTATGTGTATGTGTACCCCAAACATACACATACAAATGCACTTACATAAATACACTTACATAATTGGTCACATTGGGACTTGATCGTAAACCGGGGGTCCACTGTAGTGATAAAGCTTGCATTCAGTTACAATAGTAACACTGCTTTCATCTAATTGCAAATGGTGATACAGCTTGCATTCAGTTAGAAATGGTAATACAGCACAGTTTGCATTCAGTTAGAAATGGTGATACAGCTTGCATTCATTTGTCTTCAAAGTCCTAATGATAAAGTAACATTGCAGAATTAAAATGTAACATATTCTTTCAAATTGCTTATTTTGTTTTATTGAAGGTCAGTTGTCATTACCTTGTTTTTCAAGGGTGAGTTGTCATTGACAGTATGTTATTAGCAGCATTTATTATGTTCAGACGTACACTTGTATATTACTTTTCAAGATTTAGATTTTGCCACCAAAATGGCTAATTTATTATGCACTCCATATCCATCCTGTGGACGGTAGCACAAGAGCATATGGATATACAAAAGGCCTAGGAACTAGGCCCCAAAAGGGTTAAAAGGAGTACATCTAGATTTATATCTATAGTTCACTTATCTGTTACAAGCAAATTTAGGAAATTTGCTTAATATATCTGGTATCCTGTTTTCATTAAAAAGAAAGTTATTCAGTTAAATATAATTTTCACATCAGAAGTTTAATTTTTTTTTCAGCAAACCAGCCGTATCCCACAAAGGCAGGGTGACTTGAAAAGAAAAATGAAAGTTTTTCATTTAAATTTTAGTAATTTATACTGGAGAAGGGATTACTAGCCCTTTGTTCCCAGCATTTTAGTCGCCTCTTATGACACAAATGGCTTACAGAAGACGAAATCTGTTTCACTTCCCCATGGAGATAAGAGGAAATATAGAACAACAAGAAATATTAAGAAAATGGAAGAAAACCCACATGGGTATGTATATATGTATGTGTGTAGAAGTTTAATGTTTTTTTTTTTTCTTCTTCCAAAAAGTCGGCCGTCTCCCACCGAGGCAGGGTGACCCAAAAAAGAAAGAAAATACCCAAAAAGAAAATACTTTCATCATCATTCAACACTTTCACCACACTCACACATTATCACTGTTTTTGCAGAGGTGCTCAGAATACAACAGTTTAGAAGCATATACGTATAAAGATACACAACATATCCTTCCAAACTGCCAATATCCCAAACCCCTCCTTTAAAGTGCAGGCATTGTACTTCCCATTTCCAGGACTCAAGTCCGACTATATGAAAATAACCGGTTTCCCTGAATCCCTTCACTAAATATTACCCTGCTCACACTCCAACAGATCATCAGGTCCCAAGTATCATTCGTCTCCATTCACTCCTATCTAACACGCTCACGCACGCTTGCTGGAAGTCTATTGGAAGTTTAATGTATATTCCCCAAATCTTTTACATGCTTTCATTTTCTTAACAGAATATGCAAGCAACATTTACAACAAATGACATCGTAATTCAGAAGCTTACTCAGATTTTGTCATACCTCCGCACTGGAAGAGCCAACAAGAAACAAAAAAAGAAGGACAAAGGAAAAAGTGAAGCTGTGAGTATTTATGTTTTGTCAGTTTGTCTGTATACAAGGAGACAATACAGTGAAAAAAAATACTGAAAATCTGATGGGGATTCTATCAAAGCATCAGAGACTACATTAGTTAGAATATAGCAAATTATTGGATTGTTTTGAAAGTTTCTAAACATTGGAATGTTTTCTTAAAGTCAATACAAATTTCTAGTCATTTCTTGTTTGTATATCCTTTTTTTCTAAGTTATCACCCATGCTCTTATTTTTCTTCTGATGTAGCTATAAAGCAACTTTGGATCTGTTTTTTCCTATTTCATATTCTTATATATTAAATCCTTGATTTAATGGACCATAGGACAAAATCCATTTGAACAGTCTATTCAGAAACAACACTCAAAATCCGTTGCTTATAGAATTGTCCAATGTCATCTCTGTTCACCAGAATTGTAATTACTGGCCACCCATTCTCCCCTACTATTCCATTAAATTGAGGGTTTACTGAAGTACAATCCTTTTACTTTAGTAGATGTCTATAGTATTTAATTACTAATCTAATGGAAACAGAGCTAATATACCATCTGCTGTATCTCTGGCACTGCATTTTAAGACATTCTATAAAATTATTTCTTGAGTAAAATAATAATGAGAAAACATTATTACACCTTCTGTAACGTACTTTATATATGCTTTTAACAGACATATATAAACAATAAATAAAAAGCAAATATTATTATATATTTTCCTTAGTATTAAAAAAAGTCTGGTTATTGTTTAAAATTGCCCTTGTACTTTTAGGCAGGAAAGGCTGGCGGTGACGAGAGTATTTATGGAGATATTGGAGACTATGTTCCATCTGTTGGGAAAGCCAGTGACCGAGATAAAGATCGTGGAGATCGTGACCGTGAAAGGGGAAGGGACAGAGATCGTGAACGTGACCGAAGAGACAGGGAAAAAGAAAGAGGAGATCGTGATAGAGATAGAGAAAAGGATCGACGTGACCGTGACAGAGACAGAGACAGAGATCGTGATAGGTAAGGATATTTGCTTTTTTTTTTTTTTTTTGTAACTGCTTATCACTCATCAGACCTACCTTTTTTTTTTTTTTTTTTCATTTAAGGAAATATAAATATGGTGGGAGATGGCTGGTGTGTTAAAAAGGTGTGAAAGTCATCTCAGCAGAAGAGAGAAAATCTATAAACAAATATAAGCAAAATCTTCAATGGGTAAATGCAATAATGTTCATTAATGACAAAGTTTAACCACTTAGGTATGGGGGAAATGAAAACCTCAAAAGAAGCACAGTATACAAAATGCAGGCAGACCATATCACAGAGCATGAAGAACAGATGAACAACTCGGAAATAGTAATATCAGAAGAACTGTCATTTGGAAAACGCAGTAAAGCAAATGCAGCAAAGGCCAGGAAGATGATGGTTCAATATGAGAACTTTCAAAACATAAAAATCACTAGAATTTATTGTGCTTTTCAAATCACTTGCACTCCCACAACTTGAATATTGTTATGTGATCACAGCACCTTTCAAGGCATGAGAGAGAGAGAGAGGAGCTAGAAAATGTTCAGAATTTTTTTTTTTTTTTACCATGTCGGCTATTTCCCTCCAAGGCAGGGTGACCCACAGAGAAAAAAAAACTTTCATCATCATTCAACGCTTTCACCATCACTCATACATAATCACTGTCTTTGCAGAGGCGCTCAGATACGACAGTTTAGATGTCCCTCCAAACTGCCAATATCCCAAACCTCTCCTTTAAAGTGCAGTCATTGTACTTCCCAGTTCCAAGACTCAAGTCTGACTAACCGGTTTCCTTGAATCCCTTCACAAAATATTACCCTGCTCACACTCCAACAGCTCGTCAGGTCCCAAAAAACATTCATCTCCATTTACTCTATTACAACCCAGGAGTCCCAAAGGCCTGTTATCCTGGGTGTAAAGGGAGCAAAATAAACACAGCAGAAAAACTTTTGACTCGTATTATCCTTCACCAATTTAGAACAGAAGTTTTTTTTTTTTTTTTTTCAACAAGTCGGCCGTCTCCCACCGAGGCAGGGTGGCCCAAAAAAGAAAGAAAATCCCCCAAAAGAAAATACTTTCATCATCATTCAACACTTTCACCACACTCACACATTATCACTGTTTTTGCAGAGGTGCTCAGAATACAACAGTTTAGAAGCATATACGTATAAAGATACACAACATATCCCTCCAAACTGCCAATATCCCAAACCCCTTCTTTAAAGTGCAGGCATTGTACTTCCCATTTCCAGAAGTATATACACTATATACACTAGTGTATACAACAATAGGTATTAGTGCACTCCACGGTAAGCAAGGCAGAATAGAAGCCATTAGAGAGCAGACCGTGCTTCAACCAGCTCTAGAATGGGAATGACAAAGGCAGACAGGTGAGTGGTACCCACAACACCTCTGCGATTGCCAAAACCATCTTCTCATTGGCTGGAACCTGGGGCACCATCATCAACCCTTAGTACCTGGTTCGCTGGTTGGGGGAGATAGCCTTTCAATGAGAGTATGTACATGTGCCAAATAAAGGTTACGTACTCTTTGCATGCCACACTCTCCTATCTAACACGCTCATGTACACTTCCTGGAAGTCCATGCCTTTCGCTCATAAAACCTCCTTCACCCCCTCCCTCCAACCTTTTCGAGGACGACCCCTACCCTGCCTACCTTCCCTTACAGATTTATATGCTCTCCAAGTCATTCTACTTTGTTCCATTCTCTCTAAATGGCCAAACCACCTCAACAACCCCTCTTTAGCCTTTAACTAGTACTTTTAGTAACTCCACACCTCCTCCTAATTTCCACACTACGAATTCTCTGCATAATATTTACACAACACATTGCCCTTAGACATGATATCTCCACTGCTTTCAACCTCCTCCTCACTGCAGCATTTACAACCCATGTTTCTCTCCCATATAAGAGTGTTAGTACCACTGTACTCTCATTCCCTTCTTTGCCTCCAGGATATCGTTTTTTGTCTCCACAGATACCTCGGCACACTGCTCACCTTTTTCCCTTCATCAGTTCTATGGTTAACCTCATCCTTCATAAAACCATCCACTGACAAGTCAACTTCCAAATATCTGAACACATTCACTTCTTCCATTCTTCCTCCCTCCAATGTGATATCCAATTTTTCTTTATCTAAATCATTTGATACCCTCATCACCTTACTCTTATCTATATTCACTTTTGATTTTCTATCTTTACACACCCTCATAAAATCAGTAAGACATCTAAACTGTTAGAAATACCTCCAAGCATTTGGATTGTTCTTTCTGGAACAGAGAAGAGACAGATGCCTGATAATATGTACATGGAAGATACCTACTGGAGTGACAGATGTGGGAGAATGTGTAAATGAATTCAGTGAAGAGCAGAGGATCCTGGGTACAATTATAAAAAAGTGTCAACATCTGTGACCCCAAGACTCTGCATTATATTACCAGCAGATATCAGAAATATTGTTGGAATTAAGGTAAAAAGTTTTCAAGTAGAAGCTGGACAACTTCTTTCTATAAGTGCCAGATCAGCTTGGTTGTGATAGCTATGTGGGCCTGTGAGTTAATAGCATAAACAGCCTGGCTGACAAGGGAAATCAACCAGTTGACCATACTTAGTAAAATATAAGGTAGAATAATTATCAAAAGAATTTAAGTAAGATTCTAGGCTTGTAAAGGAAAATGAAGGATTTAGTAAAGGTAGTGAATATGTTGACCAAGTGCTTTTATTGAAGCATATAAATAAACAGCAATTTGATATGGGTAAGGAACTGTCTATCACATTTATGTATTTAGAAGGGACATAGGGTAGGATGGATAGGAGAGCAATGTGGCAAATATTGCAAATGTATAGAGGCTTTGGTTAGGGTTTGCAGGAACCAAGGGGATTTTTCTGTGTTGATATCACCATGGTTTTTTTTAATATATTTATAGGTGGAGTTGTAAAAGAGGTTAATGCTAGGGTGTTGGGGAGAGATGTTGGATTAAAAGATCATGAATCTGATGCGAAGTTGTAATTGTCAAAGTTGCCCTTTGCCATTGATGCAGTTCTTGTCAGAGATTTTGATAGGATGTTGCAAATGTTTCTCCATGGGGAAGTGGAGCAGAATTCTTCCTCCGTAAGCCATGCATGTCGTAAGAGGCGACTAAAATGCCAGGAGCAAGGGGCTAGTAACCCCTTCTCCTGTATATATTACAAAATTTGAAAGGAGAAACTTTCGTTTTTCTTTTTGGGCCACCCCACCTCTGTGGGATACGGCTGGTACGTTGAAAGAAAGAAAGAAGTTGCAAATGTTAGGGGAGGAATTTAGGGGATGCACAAAAAGAAGGAAATTAAAAGTAAACATAGAAAAGAGCAAAGCAATGAAAAAGTTTACGCAATCATAAAATGGATATCAGATTGGAGGGAGGGAGTTTGGAAGTAAATGTATTGAGATATTTGGGAGGGAAACATGTTGTCAGTTGGGTCTATCAAAGGTAAGGTGAACCATTGAACAGGTTAATAAAAAGAAGGTAGGTGAAGTGTTGTGGTGTATGTGAAAAGAAAGAGGTTTATTTATGGAGGCAAAGAGGGCAATATAGGCAAGTGTGAAGCATGAATTTTAAACAGTGCAGTGATGAGGAGGCTGGAGGCAGTGATATTATGTTTGAAAGCAATGTGAGATGTGAATATTATTAAAAGAAAACAATTCAGAGTGTAGAAATAAGAAGACAGTGTGGAGTCAGAGGCCAGAGGAGGGGTTGTAGGGTGGTCTGGGCATTTAGAGAGAATGGAACAGATTAGGATTACCAAGAGTGTATAAATCTGTAGTGGAAGGAAGGAGGAAAAGGGGTTCTCCCAGGTAGGTTTGGAGGGAGGGTATAAAGAAGGCATCCAGCAGACATGTGAGCATGTTTGATTGCAGCAAGTGGAGACAATTTTTTTTTTTTTTAAGTATTTTACATACTGTTGGAATTTGAGGAAGATAATATTTGTTAAGAGATTCAGGGAATCTGATTAGCCAGACTTATTCTAAAGGTAGAAAGTACACTGTCTGCACTCTGAAGTAGGGGTGAAGAGGTTGCAGTATAGAGGTCATTTGATTTGTAATGTCTGTACTTCTGACAAGACAGCTGCTGAGTGAATGATTGTGAATGTTTCCTTTTTGAGTTGCTCTGTCTTAATGGGAAACAGTTGGTGTTGTTAAAAAAACAGACTACCCAGTTGCAATCTTTTGTTAGAAAAAAAAAGAGGGTAAAATTTCTCAGTGTTGACTGGTACGTATTATAATTTACATAGTTAATCAGATAGGAATATTTAATACATCAGTGGAATATTGAAAAAGTGTTTTATTTGAGTGAAATCTTTAAAGTAACTTCTGTATGTGTTTCAGACACGATCGAGATAGAGAACATGACAGAGAACGAAAACCTCGCTCCTACTTCAGTCGCTCAGCACACGAAGAAGTAAAGAATGAATTACGTGCTGCAGAGGAAAGATTACAATCTCAGTGGCCCACTGGAGCAGATGTAAAAGCAGACAAACAAGTACCTCAGGTGCCCCAGCCATCACAGCAACAGCTGACACAACAGCAACAACCACAGCAACAACAAGCTTCATCACAGCAGCAGCAGCAACAACAGCAACAACCAAAGTCGTATGAACCACTTTTTATATTAGCTTTTAATTTTATTAAAGGTAACATTTATTTAGACAAGCTAATGTTATGTATATTTGGAAATTGCCATTCTGACTACTCAGATACATGAAACTATTAATAATATTGATTCTATTTTCCTACTCACTTGTACATTCCATAGTTGCCCATAGAAATAATGCCTTAGATCTAGTAGGAAGCTTGAATGACTCTGCAAGTGTATGTAAATAGACATGTATGCTGGTTTTAAAACATTATTAAGGAGATATTTGCCCACCAGGAAAAATGCAAATACATATACAATGTTTTCTCCAAACTTCAGTTATTATTATAATCAAAAAGAAGCACTAAACCTACTAGGGGTCATACAGCACTGCAGGGCAGGAATTGATGCAGGATCATAGGATAAGTAAGGGTGGAGAGGACAACAAAGGTAAAGTTAGGGAGGGCTGTGAGGAGTGCTGAAGGAAGGATTATCAAAGTTTGTGCTGTCAAAAAGTCAAAGAGGGAGTCTGTGTCAAAGGTGGGGGCCATGAACAAGGAGGGAAGATAAAGTAAGGGCATTAGAGCGGTGACGATGTCAGAGGAAAATTCTGCATGCTCGTTCATAGACAGGACAGTCCAGTAGAATATGGGAAATTGAAACTGGAACCAGACAGTTCTCACTAAGTGGAACAGGGCACCTCTCCATGAGATACCCATGTGTTAGACTTTAATACCTGCCTATTTTATCAGCACCAGTAAGGAGGAAAGCAGAAAGGATAACCAATACAGTAAGGTGATGGCAAGCACTAGACAGATTCATGATTCTGCTTTCCAACTAGTTCTTTAATAACATACTCAGCTGTAATGCTAAAAGCAAAAGCAAAATTACCATCTTAATTTTTAGCATTGCGAAGTTTCTGGCATCTACAGGAAATACATAATGCAAAGAAACCAATGCAGCAGTATGCATTATTCAGTGCAGCATCTGGCACAGAGATAATTTGAACAATGCTTGTGTCATCCATCATCATGCCTGTGAACACCTTATGGATTTCCATGATGCCATTAATTGGGGCCTTATTATTTAAGGTCACTAATCCTTTTAGTTTGCTCCTGTACGGTTTAGTGCTTTGTCTCCACATATAATTAGCTCCAGTCATTTATCTTAAAGAAAATCTCTCTCGCGATTTTTTTTTATCTTGTGTATACAGTACAAGAAAAAATTTTGCATTATGCACAAATGATTTTGTTTTTTGTATATGGTATGTCTTTGTAACCATAGACTTTGGAGAAACAGATGAAAAGGCTTTGAGGAAAAATATTTTAATTTTTCCCCAAATTCATTTGAATATTTTGCCTCATCTTTTGTAATTGCACAAATATGTATACTATATTATGTAATATGATATGCAAAGTTTAAAGTTAGAGTATTTATTACACAGTGTTGTTATTGTAAAAAAGAGGACACATACAACGTGTGGGGGAACTTTTATTTAGGAGATATTTCGTTCACCAGGAGATTTTTCGATTGAATAGCTCCTAAGTAAAAGTTCCCTGTACATTACATATGTATCTGTATCAAAGTTCTAGGTTCATTAACTTATTTTTTATACAGTACATCGCAAGCAATATATTTGTTTTCAGGGTAAACAGTCTGTTGGTGGGGGATGACTACTACACAGAGTGCTACCCTGGAATGGCAGAGATGCAGGATGCCATTGATGATTCAGATGATGAAGCTGATTACACTAAGATGGATATGGTTAGTCTGATTCTAAATTTATTTTTATAGCTTTACTGATTGATCTTTATATTTAACCCCTTAACTGTGGCATACCCAGAAAAAAAATTCCAATTTTTGTGGTAAGAATTTAAAAAAAAAATTCTTACAGAATGAAAGAGCACATTTTTATGAATCAAATAAGACTAAAATGAATGGAATCAATAAAAACTTGGAATTTTATGGCATATTGAAGTTGGCAAAAAAATGATCATTTGTCAGCAACAGTGGCATAAATGTGCCAGCCATATTTATGTTTTCCAGTTTATTGATGCCAAATTACGATTGTTTTTAAATCCATTTAATGTTTAACATTATATATACTCTAATTTCTAGTATTAGATGTGTTTCAATGTGCTTTTGTATAACACTTCAACTATTTCTCCACATTGGTGAAATAATGTTTTTTTATTTTATTGCTTACTGCTTTAGTATTATAACACTATGTACAAGGAATACTTATGATATTACAGTTGTTTCAAGGTGTAGTAATACTCTTCAAAACAAAGAAATGAGTTACATTGTTTGACTATATTTGGTTATCCTAGGCTAATTATTAAGGCACCATTCAGAGAAGTAGAAAACTGAAAGAGACAGTTACTGTAATATAATTTTTTTTTAAGATTAATAAATATTTTAAGTGGCATAATTGAAAAAAATTGTATATACTTTATTGTATGCAGCTTGAGAGCACACACATGAAGGATAAACATAGAAGATTCTTTAGTGTCATACCTTCAACAGGAATAACAATAAGCCAACTTCATGTAAATTAAGGGAAAAATGAAGCCAAAGACATTCTGGGAAATGTTTCTTTATAAATAGAGTGGTGGAAGAATGAAATAAAATAAAAGAGGTGTCTAGCAAGTGCTATAGCCATTGAAAATTTTAAAACAATTATATGAACAAAGAAGTGAAGATAAGACACCTCAGACATATTTCTGCTCCTGTAGCTATACATTGGTAATTAGTACATGTATTATATGCTCCATGGGGAAGTGGAACAGAATTCTTCCTCTGTAAGCCATGCGTGTTGTAAGAGGCAACTAAAATGCCAGGAGCAAGGGGTGTGTATGCGCATGTGAGCATGTGCATGCACATGTGCGTGCATGCATGAGTGCATGCATGTGTGCATGCATGAGTGCATGTATGAGTGTGTGTGTGCATGTATGAGTGCATGCGTGCATGTGCGTGCATGTGTGTGCGTGCGTGTGCATGTGTGTGTGTGTGTGTGTGCATGTGTGTGTGTGTGTGTGTGTGTGCATGTGTGTGTGTGTGTGTGTGCATGTGTGCATGTGTGCATGTGTGTGCGCGTGTGTGTGTGTGCATGTGTGTTTGCATGTGTGTGCACGAGCGTGTGTGTGTGTGTGTGTGCGTGTATCTTTTTTCAACAAACCAACCATATCCCACCAAGTCAGGGTGGCCCAAAAAGAAAAACGAAAGTTTCTCTTTTTAACTTTAGTAATGTATACAGGAGAAGGGGTTACTAGCCCCTTAGTCCAGGCATGTTAGTAGCCTCTTATGACATGCATGGCTTATGGAGGAAGAGTTCTGTTCCACTTCCCCATGGAGATAAGAGGAAGAAAACTCAGAGGGGTGTGTATATATATGCTTGTATATGCATGTATAGTGTGACCTAAGTGTAAGTAGCAGTAGCAAGACGTACCTGAAGCCTTGCATGTTTTGTATGTATTTTTTTTTTCAACATGTTGGTCATCTCCCACCGAGGCATGGTGACCCAAAAAGATACAACAGTTTAAAAGTCAACCTCCAAACTACCAATATCCCAAACCTTTCTTTTAAACTGTAGGCATTGTACTTCCCATTTCCAGGACTCAAGTCCAGCTAACTGGTTTCCCTGAATACCTTCACAAAATATTTACTAATTTTTTTTTAGGGTAATAAAAAAGGCCCTGTTGGACGTTGGGACTTTGATACACAAGAAGAATACAGTGATTACATGAACCAACGAGAAGCCATGCCTAAAGCTGCTTTCCAGTATGGTGTGAAAATGGCAGATGGCCGAAAGACTCGCCGTATTGGAGGAAACAAAGAGAAAGATCGGAATGCTGAATTGAATAGAGAGTGGCAACAGATCCAGCAGATCCTTAAGAGACGCAAAGACACTGACGGGGCCTCAGGTGTTCCGTAAGTATTTATCATAATTTAACAGTTGAGCCTCAATGTAGAGTCTTCAGCATCTTTTATTTTTTTTTTTTATTATTTACCTTTATTTTTGGTAGCCTTTAGTAGGGATAACATTGCTGCATTGGCAGACAGTTAGTGAAGGGACATGTTTGCTATGTCTTAATAAATGCTGTTTTCTTTCTCTTAAAAAATCTCACAAAGTCTCACAATTTCTATTGTAATAAGCTACAAAGATGCCATACTACCTCTTTTATTGATTCACTACACTAGAAAAAGACATAGGCTCATTAACTTTTTTTTAGTATGTATTTGAAAGGCCTGTAGTTTTGTGTGAGTGTATTAGATAGGAGTGAATGAAGACAAGTGGTTTTTAATGGACATGCTGTTTGAGTGTGTGCAAAGTAACATTTATGAAGCGATTCATGGAAACCCATTAGACGAATTTAAGTCCTAGAGGTGGGAGAAGGGCAGCACCTGCACTCTGAGTGATGGGGATATTGCAGTAGGAGAGTAATCTGAACTGTGATGTCATCATGCTCTAGCAAGACAGCAATTGAATGAATGACAGAAATTTCCTTATTTTTTTTTTTTAGGTCCTCTAACCTTGGTGGAAGACAGTTGGTGTGTTAAAAAAAATACAGTATTCATCAGTATTTTTTCCAAAATTAAAGGGGAAAGAGGTGTTCTGCCTAAGAACATTTTTTTTTTTGTCTGTTTTTTGTTTCTCTTCTAAACTCAGTCTACATTACCCATTCAGTTCTCTGTTTTCCCCTTTCTCCCCCCCCCCACCCCCACATTTCATGATAATTCACAGGTTCTGTACATGTGAATGCTTGGTTTAGCAGCTGTGTGCTAGTTTCTATATTCAGATAAGAATTATACAGATTATAAAATATGTCTGAGGTACTTAAATGTCTCTCAAATGACCTACAAAACCTTAGCTGAAACCTCAACCTAATAGTGTGGAGACACACCCTCTGGTTCTCTTAGATAGTTTCTGATCATTAAAAAAAAAAATTGACTAGCCTGGCCTAGGGTTGGGCTGTGGAAACAGGAAAACTCTCATGACCCATTAAAGGTGTATCAAAGGTATTAATTTCCATAATGGGTTGTGATATTTTGTAATAATCAAAGTTTTGAGGATTTCTCCTTGACCTTTATTTCTTCCAAGTGATATTTTAGTTAAAAATAAAAATGTAAGCACTTCAATTTTGTTTTATACAGGAGGGCCCCGCTTATACAGCAGGGGAAGTTCCAGGCTACTGCTGTAAAGCAAAAATTGCTGTAAAGTGAAACATAACCTTTTTTTCACTTTCAAATGCATATAAAAGCCTGATAACATATTTGCACTATCATATACTAAGTTAGCAGTGGAGCTACACCCAAAAAATCATAAATGATACACACATTACTTACCTTAAAATATTTTCACTTTTAGCATATAGTGAGTGATGAATAAATGAAGAATGGGTATAATTAAAAAGTGTTGCATTAGCAAAGCGCCATAAAGTGAAGAGCTGTAAAGCGGGGCCTGCCTGTATGGTGAAAATTCAGTAATCCAATACAGTACCTAAATATAAACTTCAAGTTCTTTCACATATTTGTGGCACTGGGGTAGTTTTATTACAGATCATATAGGTACCGTAATTAAAGATGGGTAATTCTCACCACCACAGGGCAATGTGCTAGTTTTGCATACATTGTTATTATTTTTAATTTGTAGTATTTGAAAGTGTATTTCTTGTTTAAATTGATTACAGTCAGTAGTTGTACACTTACAGTTGTACTGAAGATGGGTCTGGGCTATTCAGCAAAATCAACCATCTATGCATGGCCAGGAATAGACATCATACATGTTAGTAGAGGTTCTACTGTATAAGTAATTGATCATTGTCTTTTGAGTACTGGATGAGGTATGAAGATAATTGGTAAATGGAATGACTTCGGATGACATATCAGTACATAAGTAATTTTTATCTATTCACATAACAGTGACCTAGTTGTTGAAACGCCAGATATCGTACACACACACACCATCAAATTCTAAAATCAGAAATTTTAGAAATTGTGGAACTTTATTTTTTTAATGTATTAAAAGTTAATCATTGTTCTTCAACTTCTTTTTTTTTTTTTTTTTTCAGGGAAAAGGCTCCAAGGTATGAGTATTAACAAATTGACAGTGAATACAAACTCCCATGAGTTGTAAATATAAGTTAAACTTTGCAGTTTATTGTAAGTTATATACATGGTATTGAGTTGTATTTGGTTAATTTGAAGAACACCAACTTTTAGTGTTAGTACATTAAGCCATCATGATCTCTAGCAGTTTGATATGTAGTGTTGGAATACAAATGTTTATGTAGTGTGTTCACAAATTTTTGTTTGATTTTTTCAGTATAGTATTTAGGTAATTTGACATTATGTATCATTCAGTAATTAGCAGATAATGTTATGAGCTAAGTTTGTGATTTTAGGTACAGTACTTATACTACTGTATCATGTATCTACTCTTGTATATTATATAAGTGTAAGACAGAAATTAAAATGTCAGACAAAATGATAAATTTATTAAACTTATATAGCAGTGCAACAGAAAATTATTTAAGGTACTTTAGGTATTTAACAGCTGCTGTCTTCAATATATTTCTATAAATTGTCTCTTAGTTTTCTTTATATATGCTAACCTTCGTTACATATTACTTGACTCCTTGTTCCTATATGTATGATGGACACTTGCAGTGCATTTGTGACCTGTTAGAAATCTGTGAATATAAAGAAAATTATGATACCAAAAACTGGACTCTGGCCAGTTAAATGGATACTCAGAGTCAGGAAAATTATTCAGTACAAACAAATGCTTTTAATGGACATAAACCAAGTAAGAGTACTGTGCTCATACAGGGTGTTATAAGAGAGCAAGGTATTGCTAGCTATGCAACATATTAAATGATAAGACATTTTAACTTTTAGCCAAGATTCACAAAACAATATTACCTTTGACAACAGTACCCTTGATTCAAGGAATTGGACTTCCATTCCTTGAATTGAACTTGAATGACTCATTACCCAGGTGCTATATAACCCCTACAGGTTTAGCCCTCCTCCATGAATAAAATTAACATATAAAGTATAGGCTTCTGCGTATAGTTTACAGGTTTTACTATACTGTACGTACTACAAATATTTTAAGGTAAGTAATAAGTGAACTGTATATGCATTTTATCACTCTGGGGCGCTTTAAATGTTGTACGTATGGGATATGGCTGCTTAATTGAAAAAATATATCCATGTATATCTTTCTTTCTTTCAACACACCGGCCGTATCCCACCGAGGTGGGGTGGCTCAAAAGGAAAAACGAAAGTTTCTCCTTTTACATTTAGTAATATATACAGGAGAAGGGGTTACTAGCCCCTTGATTCTGGCATTTTAGTCGCCTCTTACAACACGCATACATATTCTTTCTTTCAACACACTGGCCGTATCCCACCGAGGCGGGGTGGCCCAAAAGCAAAAACAAAAGTTTCTCCTTTTACAATTAGTTATATATAAAGGAGAAGGGGTTACTAGCCCTTTGGTCCCGGAAGAATTCTGTTCCACTTACCCATGGAGGTAAGAGGAAATAAACAAGAACAAGAACTAAAAAGAAAATAGAAGAAAACCCAGAGGGGTGTGTATATATATGCTTGTACATGTATGTGTAGCGTGACCTAAGTGTAAGTAGAAGTAGCAAGACGTACCTGAAATCTTGCATGTGTATGAGATAGAAAAAAAAGTCATTAGCAATCCTACCATCGTGTAAAACAATTACAGGCTTCCGTTTTACACTCACTTGGCAGGACGGTAGTACCTCCCTGGGCAGTTGCTGTCTACCAACCTACTACCTAGGATGCATACATCTTTCTTTCTTTCAACACACTGGCCGTATCCCACCGAGGCGGGGTGGCCCAAAAGGAAAAATTAAAGTTTCTCCTTTTACATTTAGTAATATATACAGGAGAAGGGGTTACTAGCCCCTTGCTCCTGGCATTTTAGTTGCCTCTTACAACACACATGGCTTATGGAGGAAGAATTCTGTTACACTTCCCCATGGAAGTAAGAGGAAATAAACAAGAACAAGAACTAGTAAGAAAATAGAAGAAAACCCAGCGGGGTGTGTATATATATGCTTGTACATGTATGTGTAGTGTGACCTAAGTGTAAGTAGAAGTAGCAAGATGTACCTGAAACCTTGCATGTTTATGAGACAGAAAAATGGACACCAGCAATCCTACCATCATGTAAAACAATTACAGGCTTTCATTTTACACTCACTTGGCAGGATGGTGGTACCTCCCTGGGCAGTTGCTATCTACCAACCTACTACCTAGGATGCATATATATGATTGGTGGAATGATGAAGTAAAGGGTGTGATAAAAGAGAAAAAGTTAGCTTATGAGAGGTTTTTACAAAGCAGAAGTGTTATAAGAAGAGCAGAGTATATGGAGAGTAAAAGAAAGGTGAAGAGAGTGGTGAGAGAGTGCAAAAGGAGAGCAGATGATAGAGTGGGAGAGGCACTGTCAAGAAATTTTAATGAAAATAAGAAAAAATTTTGGAGTGAGTTAAACGAGTTAAGAAAGCCTAGGGAAAGTATGGATTTGTCAGTTAAAAACAGAGTAGGGGAGTTAGTAGATGGGGAGATGGAGGTATTAGGTAGATGGCGAGAATATTTTGAGGAACTTTTAAATGTTGAGGAAGAAAGGGAGGCGGTAATTTCAAGCACTGGTCAGGGAGATATACCATCTTTTAGGAGTGAAGAAGAGCAGAATGTAAGTGTGGGGGAGGTACGTGAGGCATTACGTAGAATGAAAGGGGGTAAAGCAGCTGGAACTGATGGGGTCATGACAGAAATGTTAAAAGTAGGGGGGGATATAGTGTTGGAGTGGTTGGTACTTTTGTTTAATAAATGTATGAAAGAGCGCAAGGTACCTAGGGATTGGCAGAGAGCATGTATAGTCCCTTTATATAAAGGGAAAGGGGACAAAAGAGATTGTAAAAATTATAGAGGAATAAGTTTATTGAGTATACCAGGAAAAGTGTATGTTAGGGTTATAATTGAAAGAATTAGAGGTAAGACAGAATGTAGGGTTGTGGATGAGCAAGGAGGTTTCAGAGTGGGTAGGGGATGTGTAGATCAAGTGTTTACATTGAAGCATATATGTGAAGAGTATTTAGATAAAGGTTGGGAAGTTTTTATTGCATTTATGGATTTAGAAAAGGCATATGATAGAGTGGATAGGGGAGCAATGTGGCAGATGTTGCAAGTATGTGGAATAGGTGGTAAGTTACTAAATGCTGTAAAGAGTTTTTATGAGGATAGTGAGGCTCAGGTTAGGGTGTGTAGAAGAGAGGGAGACTACTTCCCGGTAAAAGTACGTCTTAGACAGGGATGTGTAATGTCACCATGGTTGTTTAATATATTTATAGATGGGGTTGTAAAAGAAGTAAATGCTAGGGTGTTCGGGAGACGGGTGGGATTAAATTATGGGGAATCAAATTCAAAATGAGAATTAACACAGTTACTTTTTGCTGATGATACTGTGCTTATGGGAGATTCTAAAAATAAATTGCAAAGGTTAGTGGATGAGTTTGGGAATGTGTGTAAAGGTAGAAAGTTGAAAGTGAACGTAGAAAAGAGTAAGGTGATGAGGGTATCAAATGATTTAGATAAAAATTGGATATCAAATTGGGGAGGAGGAGTATGGAAGAAGTGAATGTTTTCAGATACTTGGGAGTTGACGTGTCGGCGGATGGATTTATGAAGGATGAGGTTAATCATAGAATTGATGAGGGAAAAAAGGTGAGTGGTGCATTGAGGTATATGTGGAGTCAAAAAATGTTATCTTTGGAGGCAAAGAAGGGAATGTATGAAAGTATAGTAGTACCAACACTCTTATATGGGTGTGAAGCTTGGGTGGTAAATGCAGCAGCGAGGAGACAGTTGGAGGCAGTGGAGATGTCCTGTCTAAGGGCAATGTGTGGTGTAAATATTATGCAGAAAATTCGGAGTGTGGAAATTAGGAAAGGGTGTGGAGTTAATAAAAGTATTAGTCAGAGGGCAGAAGAGGGGTTGTTGAGGTGGTTTGGTCATATAGAGAGAATGGATCAAAGTAGAATGACATGGAAAGCATATAAATCTATAGGGGAAGGAAGGCGAGGTAGGGGTCGTCCTCGAAAGGCTTGGAGAGAGGGGGTAAAGGAGGTTTTGTGGGCAAGGGGCTTGGACTTCCAGCAAGCGTGCGTGAGCGTGTTAGATAGGAGTGAATGGAGACGAATGGTACTTGGGACCTGACGATCTGTTGGAGTGTGAACAGGGTAATATTTAGTGAAGGGATTCAGGGAAACCGGTCCCTTTTTCATATAGTCGGACTTGAGTCCTGGAAATGGGAAGTACAATGCCTGCACTTTAAAGGAGGGGTTTGGGATATTGGCAGTTTGGAGGGATATGTTGTGTATCTTTATACGTATATGCTTCTAAACTGTTGTATTCTGAGCACCTCTGCAAAAACCGTTATTATGTGTGAGTGTGGTGAAAGTGTTGAATGATGATGAAAGCATTTTCTTTTTGGGGATTTTCTTTCTTTTTTGGGTCACCCTGCCTCGGTGGGAGACTGCCAACTTGTTGAAAAATAAATATATATATATTATATATATATATATATATATATATATATTATATATATATATATATATATATATATATATATATATAGTGGATGTGTCAGCGGATGGGTCTATGAAACATGAGGTGAATCATAGAATTGATGAGGGAAAAAGAGTGAGTGGTGCACTTAGGAGTCTGTGGAGACAAAGAACTTTGTCCTTGGAGGCAAAGAGGGGAATGTATGAGAGTATAGTTTTACCAACGCTCTTATATGGGTGTGAAGCATGGGTGATGAAAGTTGCAGCGAGGAGAAGGCTGGAGGCAGTGGAGATGTCATGTCTGAGGGCAATGTGTGGTGTGAATATAATGCAGAGAATTCATAGTTTGGAAGTTAGGAGGAGGTGCGGGATTACCAAAACTGTTGTCCAGAGGGCTGAGGAAGGGTTGTTGAGGTGGTTCGGACATGTAGAGAGAATGGAGCGAAACAGAATGACTTCAAGAGTGTATCAGTCTGTAGTGGAAGGAAGGCGGGGTAGGGGTCGGCCTAGGAAAGGTTGGAGAGAGGGGGTAAAGGAGGTTTTGTGTGCGAGGGGCTTGGACTTCCAGCAGGTATGCATGAGCGTGTTTGATAGGAGTGAATGGAGACAAATGGTTTTTAATACTTGACGTGCTGTTGGAGTGTGAGCAAAGTAACATTTATGAAGGGGTTCAGGGAAACCGGCAGGCCGGACTTGAGTCCTGGAGATGGGAAGTACAGTGCCTGCACTCTGAAGGAGGGGTCTTAATGTTGCAGTTTAAAAACTGTAGTGTAAAGCACCCTTCTGGCAAGACAGTGATGGAGTGAATGATGGTGAAAGTTTTTCTTTTTCGGGCCACCCTGCCTTGGTGGGAATCGGCCAGTGTGATAATAATAATAAATATATATATATATATTTTTTTTTTTTTCAACAAGTCGGCCGTTTCCCACCGAGGCAGGGTGACCCCCAAAAAAAAAGAAAGAAAATCCCCAAAAAG